TTCTGTAGTCTTTAGATGCTTTTAGAGTGGCTCACTTCAACTCCGAGACACCAGGAAATAAGAAAATGGGTTCTCATCGTGTTTTTCACATGGTGGTGATGATTCAAATTATGGCTAAATCCATATAGAAATGTGAAAACAGACACATCTTTCTCCTGATTCTTTGCAGTACAAAGCTGGGGAAAAAATGCTCTAAGCTAAAGAGAACGATGCATTGGACCGGGGCGTGGACTCCGGACAATCTAGCAGCATTGTGCGAAGAGGAATGCTCAAAATAATAAAGAGCATTTTAACAAAAGAGCATCTCAAAAGTTGTTGCAGGTGATTTGTAAAAGAAAATAAATCATTTTTATAATCTTAGGTTTTTCTCCACAGGAAATAAAGGGTGTCAGTAAATATGTTGTGTTTTATATGAATATATGAATTTATCAGATGATTTAAGGTAGTCAATTGTTAAGATTAGACTACCTTAACTGAACAGCAATGAAGTGGTTTTAATTCACATGCAGTAATAAAACTCATTCCTCTGTGTCGGCAGGAATATACTAGAAAATTTAAACACTGATTCTCTTTTGGGAGTGAGAACTCTTGGAAATGGAGATTCCAAGAGTCGGCTGTGGCGTATACAATTTCATTAGAACTGTTTTACCCAGAAAATTGTAGTCAATTGTACTTTTTTTTTTTTTTGCAAACATTTTGGCACTTGGTCTAAAAAACTGTCAGCAATACATTACTCTTGTTTTGCCTTTGTAGCTCAGTCCACAGGGGTCAGTTAAAGTTAAACTTTACCAAACTGTTGAGCGTTTTCATGCTGATGTTGGCTTGCATTCTTCAATGGGGCACAGCAAGGAGAGAAATCGACAGCGACGCTCGCCCACCAAACTCATAACCCAACAGCGACCGGCTGGCTGACCTAAAGGGTCTCGGGGCTGTTGAATAAAATGTGACAGAGAAGCAACAATGCAGGGGGGAAAAAAATTACTGGCAATCCACAAAACACAAAAGTGCTTCTGTGGTGCAGTTACAGCACTGTCCTCTGTCCTTTAGAGACAGACGGTGGAATGGGGGTGGAGGATAGTCCAGTTCGGCATGCACTTTGGATTCCAGCCGGGGCACAACTGGAAGGGACGGACTCTAAGAGTCTGCTCTCCAGATGGAAATCATATGAATTGCTAATGCCCTGTGTCATTCCATATGTGGGAGTCAGACTGAGGGGACCTTCAGGCTGTGTGACGACGTGATGAGGGCACAGAAACACGATTGCTCTCTGTTGCATTGGACTGAAAAACATTCTTGGCTTTTGAAAATTTCTCTTCATGAGACATTATCTGCTGAGTGATGATGTAGTTTTATGTCTCATCATGTGTGGAAACGCACTGAAAGTTTTGCTTTTTCGTAAAACATTCTTTGCTATGCAAATGTGATTACATTGTTATTACATGCCTTTAAACGTCAGATTGGTCTCTACAAATCAGATTCTGCTGATAGGTTCAACATAATATTGGCTTAAGCAACATAGGGTATGTATATATATATATATATATATATATATATATATATATATATATATATATATATATATATATATATATATATATATATATATATATATATATATATATATATATATATATATATATATATATATATATATATATATATGTACCCAATGTATACCTGTACATAGGGTACATATATACAAAGGATATGTATATATACATAGGATACATATATACCCTATATAAGGTGGTATATATGCAAGGTGTAATACTTTGCACCTTGCAAAGTATTGCCACTTTGCAAGGTGTAATACCTTGTAAAGTTCATTTCACTTCAAAAATATTCTTTTGATCCCGAAGAAATTAAATGTTAAAAATGATTTGATCAAAAAAGTTATTGTAGATGGTGATGTCCTTGGGCAGGAAGGGTCTCCTGTAGCTGTCTGTACTGCAACAAATTTGAAGAAGCCTCTGACTGAAGACACCCCTTCAACTTTTCCACATTTTAACATCTTGCAAGCACAACATGGCTGAGCTTTTTCCACAATGAAACATGGTCTTGAGCCTTGACAGTGTCATGATGTCGGGATCTTGTTCTTCGGGAACAGGGAATCTCATTGGAGTTTCTGGGAATATGGGCGGATCTTCCCTCATTAGCGGTTCACCTTCCAACAGGTCAAAGATTTGTTGACTTACAGGGAGCGCTACAATAAAATGGCTCAGGTGAAAGCATTTTTATGTGTGAGGAAGGTCCATTCAAAGTCTAGATATAAGTACATTCTAAAAGTTGTGACAAGAGTTAAAGACTTGTCACGACAAATGCTTTTCATTCATTCCAAATTAGTTAGATGAACCGTCCTGCGGTTTGGCAAAACGAAAATGACAGTCTGAACGTGTGTGAATACTTTTTTTAAGGCCTTGTACTTTGCATTTGAATGCCACCTTCTGAGAACATTACTCAGGATATTTGTCATCCTTTTAATTTCATGCGGCACTTCATGAGTAATAGGTAGGAGAAACAAAAGGAAGTATGCAAAGCCTTCAACGCATCGAACGCAGCAGGTGGAGACTCTTTGTGTCAAGTTTACAAAACACCAGCGCATCACGCAGCAGCGCATTCAGATGAGGAGCCGGCGAACCAGTTCAACCCTCTGCTTGCGATTCCTGGCACTGACTGGGTTACGTTTCCTCCAGTATGTGTAAACAATAAAAATATGCAGCAAGAGAAAAGGCTGAGGCATCCTATTGGCTCTGTCGAGCAACACAGCATAGACAAGTTTTATAGGACTTTACTCTTTAAACATCAAGTTTGATGTTTACAACTAACCTTTAGCAGTTTTTAGTGTTTGTATTTCCTCTACTGGGTTTGACAACGTCTCTGACGTATTCTGTGGTTCCCTTTGTTTCCATGAGAAAATATAAGACCCAGTAGAAACATTATTACTATGAAATAATGTTTCTGTTTACCTGTTTGATCTGCTAATCACAGCAACACATTAATTGCAAAAATTCTTCATTTATAACACATTTGAAATGCATTTTGTGTGATTATACGCCAGCAGTTTGCCCCTCTTCAAAGAGGTAAAAGATTACAAAAATGGTACAATTGTATAATTAAATCATACTTTAATTGGGTATAGCACCTTAATATGTTGTGGGTATCACTGTAAGGGTTAAAAACAGTACCTTCCTCCTTATCTAGGAGAAACAAAGACATGTTACCGAGGTCAACATGCGCCACAGTGTCAGCTATGACAAAAAAAATAAAATAAAATCCGCACATCTGTTGAGGAGAAAACATCGCCGTCGCTAACATGTTTTCAAAAAAACAGTGATGAAGACAAAACATACGGACACAAAATACAATAAGACTTTTCGTAAAACTAATAAAATAATTAGTGGAATATGAAAAATGATAAATAATCCAACAACTAAATAAAAGTAAGTTTTATTTATGACAGTGAAAATATTTAAAAACCTTATACCAGAATCCTGCTTAATGTTTTTACAGCAGAGATTTGAAGCAGTTTCAATTGTGATTTTTAAATTATTATTATTATTTTTAACTAGAGAAGAGAGCATCACAACAATCCAGAACAACTACATTGTTGGTATTAGCTTAGAAAAACCATGTCTGGTATTGTGTAAATATTTTTCAGATTAATAAATCCAGTTTTTTATTTAAAGTGTCTCTTAACCCTGAAGCTGGACCTCAAGGTGACTCCTGTTCATTTCCCAGAGCTTCAGGCTTTACTTTTTCTCTCTGAGTTTCAGAATCCGTCATTGGATTGGAATTATAATCCAGCTTGTGTTTTCAGGACAGGCAGCAATGTGAAGCTGTTAGTCATTGGAATGAACTAAAAAAAGCCTAATTAATAAATTGATATTTCATTGACGAGGCACGAAGGCAGGCGTGTTAGAAATATCATTACTTTCGTCTACAGGTTTTCAAAACACCACATTAATCCAAATGGCTTAAGAAAGTTTTATCTCTAAAAATGACGGCTTAACGCTATAAAGAGACCAAAATGAAGAACCCTTTCTTTAGAGCTCTTAGAGCATGGAACCAGTTTTTTCTAAGGTTTGCCAAGATTTTAAGCTCATTTCCCTAAGGATCATTCTAAGTGTTTTTAACGTCTAAATAAAAACCTAACATCTTCAACATGTTCACCGGTCACTGAATGAAAGACGGCTCAATGTTTATTCTTCCGTGAAAACACCTAAAGGATTGTGACCTAACCAGTTTGTCGCAGTTGCATGCCTCACCCTTTAAAGCTCATTCCCTCCTGATAAGAGCTTCAGTCTCCTTGAGGAACACCGTCCTCACAACTTCATCTTACTCTATCTTACTGCATCTTACTGTGTCTAAAGGTTTTGAAATAAATCCAGATCTTGAGTTTTCTCTGAAACATGGAGGGCATCAACACATAGCATTGTCACCTGAGGCCTCTTCAGTCACATGCTGTGACGCACACAGTTGCCTTGGCTGAAGGAGAAAAGAAAGAAAAAGTTTCAACATGTCTTGTGTCCATTTTGTGTTTTACAGTTTGAATCTGAAGCTGCCTGACCATTGGTCAGGACCTCCTTATTTAAAGGTGTGACCTAGTCGAATGTGTTCCCATAATTGGAAATGTGACTTTGTGAAAAGCTATGAAAAATCTGATTGCATTTTTATTTATTTATTTTTGTATTCCCTCATTAGTGGTATTCTATTAGCTCAATAAAGCCTATTGGAGGAAATTAGAAGACAGACAGGGGACGTGATTGTAACTCATCTGTAACAAATAAATACAATTCTTCACCTGTGCCAAAGCTCTGACAGAAGTCCCCATGAAACAATCGCAGTAATGCTCCTTTTGTAAGGCAGTCAGTGGGACGGCTGGTTGTGGGCTCGGGGAGTGAGGGCGACATAAATAATTCATGATGGAGTTGGTGGAGGGAGGAGCTGCAGTTTCGGCTCTGTCTGCCGTCGGCTCCGTGCGTCACGGTTTGATTCGGACAGCGCAGGGACATGGTGCGGATGGATGGCTGTCCACACGGCCACAAGAGGACCAGGTAGTCGCCGTATATTGATTTTGATTATGAAACATTATTGTTTATTTTTAATCATTAGTCTATTTTTTAAAACGGAACACATTGACTGGTTGTTTCACAAACTGCTGCTGCGTAAAAACCGGAGGTTTTCTGGAATCATTTTTACGCGCAGCAACAATCTCGGTCGCTCACGACTTCTTCTCATAATGTCACTGTGTTTGGGATGAACTAGAACAAATTACCGGGGATTGAGCAGAATAAGCGGATTTATCATAGGAGCATTTTTTTTTCTTTTCAGTTTTCAAAATTTATAGTATTTTAATAAGGCTTTACATTGAATGGAAATATTTATAGGACTATATACTTTTACGTGCATATAATGATCAAAACGCCTCCCATGAGTACTCTGCTTTTAGAAGTGGTCCGTTCGACATTTGCTCTGTGCAGACTCAGCAGGTTTGTGTCACAACATGACTACAAACAGATGATTAAGCATAACACTCCACAGAGGATATGAGGGTTTCAGCTCATGCGCGCCAGTAAACCCACCGAGGTTCAAGCTGCGCCCCGAAGCCGGATCGGTTCATCTGACCGGTCTCAACGTGCAGAAGGAATGGAGATATTATCCTCCAGCGGCTGTGATTTGACTGTGCCACGCTGCGTTCTTATTCTCCGCTTCGTGTTTAAAAGTCGCAACGCATAGAGGTAAAGCAACAGCGGAGAAAAAAAAAAAGGTTACCCATGTGGGAACTACGCCGCTCCCTGTGCGGTTATTTACCTCCGCATGATGTGTGCAAACACATGGCGCGCTGTTGTGCGTCGGATGAAAGGTTGGGCCATTTTCCCGTCCCAGAGGAGCCCGCTCGGATTTTTCCTGTTTCTTTTTGAGCAAAGAAGTCGCAACAGTGAAGAGAAACTGGCTTCGACTGTGCAAACTGAGCTTAGGCTCAAATTGGCGCAAAAAAAAAAAAAATGTTTGCGCCGGTTTGAGACTGAGCATAGTTCCCAGGATTGTTTTGAGCAACTTGTTATGAAAAAGTTTTGCCCTTTCACATCTTTATGTCTTGTTTATGTAGCTATTGGTTTTTTTGTCACACTTAAAAGTTGCAGATAATGAAGTTAATTTTAATATAAATAACCTTGAATGAGTAAAAAAAAGAACACTTTAAACGATTATATTGATTGCATATAAAGAAATTTAAACAAAAAAAATGCATTTCCTCTTTATCTTTAATTACTGATTGGCATGTAGAAAATTGACTTAAAACACTATAAGAGGGCATCAATAACTGATCCAACAGGCCACAAAAAATAAACCCTTTCACCACTGTAATGTTTTGTTTTTTGCAATTTTGGTTTTGATCATTTTGAATAGCTGTTTTGTTTTCTTCTTTTAAACACTAAACGCTCACTTGTAATTTATGGGGTCATTTTTGATGTTCAATCATCTGAAACATCGACGTATGAATGCTTTTTGCTGCAACCGGACGATTTTTATTCCACAGCACTGTTTTCTAACTAGCCTCACCAGGAATTAATGACAGCCAGATTTATAACCATGTACTGTAATCTTCAGACCCCCAGATGGTCTTCCCTTAGAGTCTTTTCTGATTTTCTCCACCATAATCTAGAGAGTTCAGTTTGAGTTTCTCTCATTGTAACGCCGTTCTGTTGCGTTCACGTTTAGTTTTCTCATTCGAACTGTTGCAAAGTGTCCTCCTTTGAGCAGCTGCCGCAGGCCAAAATGTTCTTCCCTAATATGCAAATCCTCAGTCCAGGACCGTTTCTCCTCCCCAGAGGGAGACACAGTTTGACGTAGATTTATCTCATTAATCAGCAGATCACCCACAATCCCCATCCTCTGCACCTTTGATTCGGGAACATCTGCTTTTCCTGCTGCACTGTTCCAGGGCTCTTTCTTCTGTCTTCAAGTTTCACAGATGGGTCTGTAATTGCATTTGTCAGGTTGTGTTATCAAAACACACAGTCTGTCAGAGCCTGATTTATGTCCTCGCCGAGTCCCTCACATCCCTCCTTAACAGTTGCTCAGCAGGCTTAAATGCTTCCTGTTGTGAGAAGCTAAGATCTCACCAACTCCTCCCCTGCTGTCTTTTTACAGATCTGAGTCCCGAGGGATGACACAAGTCGCTTTTCCATCACAAATGACATAACACTGAACATGTCTGCATCTGAATCATATACAGATTGGGGTTCTGGAGGTAGCAGCGGCGCATCAACAGGGACACACTCTGCTATTTGTTTTTTAAGGTTTTTACCGCGAGGCAAGCGCTAAATCTTGGATGGAACGATGATTTCAAGCTCACGTTGACCCAAAAATAAAAAATAAATAAAAGCCTATCACACATTAGTGATACAGACTCTGTTACTTAACTTTCATCCTGATTCTGCACACCCACATGCAGGAACTCAGGGGACAGGGAGTGTGTAGGGGAAAGGCAGAGGAAAGCACAGTTCCCGGGCTTTCTAAGAATTTGCCTCAAACAGAGAATAACAAACTAACTGAGGGATGAAGAAATAGGTCACAAAACAGACTTGACCTCTGGAACGCCGAAGAGAAACTAGGTCAGACATTCGTTCAGTTTTTTTCTATTGTTCAAAGATTCTGCGCTGAAGTAACTTTATGCTATTTCATCCTCCCTCCAAGAGTCAGAATGTTATGTAATATCTTGAAAAGATCTTAATCGTTAGAGTTCTCTCTTTGTTATTTGGCTGATTTCTTCTGTCATTTTCCATCCAGATATTTTACTTGAGAGGGCCGTCGTGTTGTGCAACGTGTCCTTTTTAACATCGTCTGACAAATAAAAATCTGAACAGGTGATTATTTTTAGCCTGCCTGCCTGTGAAACAGCTTCAGATGTTTCTTAGACATCTAAGATGTGAGTCGTTTAATCTCAGTGTAAGAGAAACTATTCTCTGAAGGCTTCAGACGTTTGAGGACATCAGAAAACAAAAAGCATCAAGAAGATCAGGGACCATGGATGTTTATGGATAAATTTGTAGAGATGTTTAAATTAGGGTTAGGTTCTTTTTTTAAAAAAATAAATAAAAAGAAGCTTTGAACATTTCACAGAGCTCTGTTCAACCCATCATTTCAAAATTAACAAGCACGGCACAACCGCAAATCTGCCAACGCTTTACACTGACTGACTGGAATAAGAGCTTTATTCGGGCGCAGTGCAGATAATTCTGACTTTGGAGGAGCTGCATAGAAACACACATTGAGTGTAAAAAATCACTTATGTTAACATTTTACCAGAAGTTTAGAATAAATCCACAATTGATTCAAATGGGTGTCTTGTTTTTGAATTCGGTGAAACCTTTTTTGTACAAAGACGCAGCGTAAGCCTCTGATAGCTACTTCATCTCATGTCAATGCGACAGCTGTGATTATGCAACATGGTACGTTTTCTGTTATTTTCCGCCATTTTTGTCCAACATAAAAGTTTTGCTTGCCTCAACTTGCTAGAAATTCAAGAGACTGAAGAAGTTTTGTGGTTGCGTGTTTTTTGTTTCATTTCATGCACACGATAAGCTGTAAAACTTACAGCACAGAAGAATTTTCCAGACTTCCTTTCATCTTTCTGCTTTTCACGGCAGCTTTCGCAGCTTATCTCCTTTACATCTCTGGCAGTCCCTTATGTTTTCCATCTCCTTTTGATTTCCCCATCAGAACAAAGCATGGCTGGGAAGCCTTTCCGGGCCACCTACATCTGGAACAGCATCATTTCCAATCTCCAAAGTCAAGTCGAGGTGAAGCACAGGCGCCACAACCTGAAGTCGTACCACGACTGCTTCCTGGGCTCAGAAGCCGTGGACGTGGTTCTGTCGCACATCACCCTCAGCCGTTTCTTTGGCGATGAGGCGGTGCCTCGACACAAGGCCGTCCGGCTCTGTCAGGTCCTCATGGACTCTAAGGTGTTTGAGCCAGTCGGGGTTAAAGTGTTTGGAAAGGAGAAGAAAAGAGACAAGTTCGAGGACAGCAGCGTCAGTTTGTACAGGTTCCTGGGTCCAGTAACCACCTCCTCCTTATCTCTGACCAATACCAACTCCCAGTCCACCGGTGCCATCAAGAGTGGCTATGGCTCGCCGAACATGAACCAGAGCAGCTGCTCGCTGACAAGCGAAAGGTATAGAATCATGTTGTAACATCTTAAATGTACAAAAAAGAAAGAAACAAAAAGAAAGCTCAAAGTTTATTTGCAATATACAAAATACCAGCAAGGACAAAACACTGCTCAAATGTGGTACAAAAGAAATATAAATTACAAAAATTTAAAAACACAAAGAAATTAGATCAATAACACTTTTATGAAACGTCAAAACTCAGAAGCAAAAAAGCTGTAAAAAACAAAACAAAGTCTGTGGTTGTGAGTAATGAGACATTAGGAAACATTTTATCTGTTGGCAGGAAATCCAGAAAGTAGAATAAACAATGATGGGTGATTTAAACTTACAAAAATATACTTTAAACTATCATCCTGCCTAACGAGTAGTGTGAGACATTCTGCAATCTCTGCCTCTGGAATGAATGGGCGACAAAACAAACACACAGTATTCATGGAAAAAAATCAAGTTTATTATCCTTTTTGTACAAGCAATAGATACTTCATTTATAGAAAAAAAAAATCCTGTAAGCCACCATGTGAATGAAAGACAGGTATAAGGAAGCTTTTTGTTTTGTTTTGTTTTTTGCTGCATTAATTGTGTCTGTTCCTGTAACGAGTCTCTGAATCACTTCCATTGATTGCTCTCTTTATGTAACCTACCAGCCAAGGGGTCCCAAGCTACACCACCCACTCCCCGGTAAAGAGAGAGAAGCTGCTGGAGGAGGTGCTGGGGAACCTGAACCTCAGCACCACCACCACCCCCCAGATGAGCCACCTCGGCCTCACGCAGGAGTGTAAGCTTCTGCCCTGACCGACCAGACGCCCGAGCGTGTCGTAAAACAAACCAGTCGAAATGTTTTCATCTGTAAACACTGTGAAACTGCTGATTGCTGACGCTTGTAAAACTGCTGTTTGGCTTTGGCAGGTTTGTATGAAGTGTGGCACCAGCAGGCGGTGTCCAGGCTGCTGCAGCTCATAGAGCTCCCCCTGCTGGAGAGCTTGTTAGAAGGCGAGGTCGCTTCACGATCCTCTCTGCATGGCATGGCCAGCGACCCAGACCTGCTGTGTACAACCAGCTACCTGGACAGAGAAGTTCTGAAAGCCTTCAGTGAAGCACAGTAAGTCCGAACTGTGACTTGTGGAAAAGTCTCCTTTTTATTGTGATTTTCTCGACTTACTGTCATAATCTATGAGCTTCTAAAACTACTTCCCACATCGGAAGCCTGAAATCATTGAATTCATGAGAAATTATGAGAAATCGTGTCAAAATCAGATGAAATGTATTTTTCCTTATTTTTGTCATGAGTCACAACTGCTAAAAATATAACTGGCCAAGAATTTGCACTTTTGGTGTCTTGAAATCCTTCACATCTAAGGCTGTGATTACAGTACAATTACACACAGTGGGATAAGCAGATTAGGGGCCATATACAAAAACTGCAGTGTCCACAGTTAAACTCTAAGCCATCTGGACAAGTCGCATCGACTGTCTTTATAGTTTGTTTCTTTGTCTGGTACTTAAATAATATGAAACAAAAGGGCACTAAAATACAAAAAATAAAATTCCATGTATAAAACTAGTTCCTCCCCTTCCCTCTGCCTCAGGGCTGATGAGTGGATGTCAGTGGCGGTGGACTGTCTGGAGTTTCTGCCTGATGAGCTGGTGGTGGAAGTCAGTCGAGGTTTGGCTGCTTGTGCGGATGACCTTGTTCAGTGCAAGAGGTTGCTTTACCAGGTCCTGGTCAGGCATTACGCACAGACGCAGCGGCCGCCTCTGCTTAACAACTATATCTTTGATATCCACTCTGGGATCTCAGAACTACTTGGTAAGCAGTAATTATTATTTTTTTCAGTCCTTACCTTTCAAAATAACTTTAAATTGTTGTGTCAGAGAAAGTGCCTGATTGGTCAATTGGCTAACAGAAGACTTTTTATACTACTTACTTCTTTTACAAGAAAAGCATAACCCATAATAAAAGCAGCTCAATTCAACAGCAGCAGGAATTGTTCCCTGTCTGTTTTTGGATCATGCAACCAGCTCCTAGTGTTGAAGCGATAACTATTTTCACTCAGTTTAAAGTTTACAACTGTTACTGTTGCATTGTCAGTGAACGGGAAGCTGGAGCCGGCTCTGGAGGCGCTGCAGCTGAGCCTGAGGCTGCAGGACTCCCACAGCCGGGAGGAACTCCGGAGGCTCCTGAGATTCATGGCCACTGCGGCCAAACCGCAGGAGGTGAAGCTGCACAAAGAGGTCAGTGCTCCTGTTCATCCTGTTCACCCTGGGTGCCGCTATGTGTTCGTTTTTGCTCCTCATCGACTCTAAATGCTCTTCCCAGATTGAGAACAGGATGGCGGTAAAGAGGGCTTTCTCCAGCTCCATCGTGTACAGCGGAAGGCTCTCGAAGGGCAAGGTGGACTTGATGGTTCTGTTCATGATGGATCACCACTGTGATATGTTCAAAGTAAGTGCTGACGGTTTGTTTCTTAGAAACTAATGTAATATTTTTAGTGTTCAGATAACAAATTGGAGTTGATATAAAGAAGTTTGATTGAACTGAATTGAGTTGGATTTTTCTACTAGATTCCCGTCTCCTTGCACAAGATGGTGAGTGAAAGATTGAGGAATATCGTGCTGGGGAAGGATCCGGATGTGATAACAGGTTTGCATCGGCTGTTGTAGATTAAAAGGAACGACTTGCTCTGCAGCGAATTCATTTTATTTCTCTGCTCCTCCACTGCAGGCACAACATACTGCTCCAGGGTCAGTGCCAAGGAATATTCTGAAAGTGGACAGAAAGCCACAAAGGAGGAGATCCTTTCTCTACTGAGGACAGTTTATGAGAACCCCAAATTCTCCCGGAAGGAGAAGAGGCGACTGCTGGGACAGTTTTATAAAGCTCACCCTGAGACTTTTGTTCAGTACTTTGGAACGAAATTGTCTAGTATCAACATGTTGTTGCAGTGATATTTATACAAGTTATATGCACATAGTAACAGATGACTGAGCAAAAGTGTAAGCTATAATATTTAATGATCTATTTAACTATTTTATGTGGTGCGGGTCACTGAGGCAAAATGCTCATTTTGATGTGAAAAAACCACTGATGCATTTTCTGAAATAGAAAAAAGTTATTTTTACTTTTTAAGCTCAAACAGACATTATAGGTCTGATTCAGTCAGAAGCAAACCTGCAGGTTGGCTGTGGCTGTTATTCTTGTGCAATAGCATCAGATAAAAATGTGAAAATTTGACATTGGAAACCTTAGAAGTTCCTTATTCTGCTTTAGTGACAGTGGGGACGTGCTCCTGACTCTGCCTCATTTTGTTTTCTGAAAAATCAAAACAGATGTTGGAGAGGATTATTTTCTTTTATGACAATCTCAGCCACGTTTTAGTGGTTTTTGTTTAAGTCAGGTACAAATAACCCTTCTAATTGGCTTACAGGAAATGACTGGAGTGTTTCCTGTTGGTTTGAAACATCTTGTTTGTATTTTAGGTCGTCTGAGGTAAAATTGCGATGTAGAACAGAAGCGTTCATGCATCTTTTGCATCAGTTCTAAGGAGACAATGACATCTGGTATGCTAGCTATAAACTGATTCAGAGTGGATAATTGTGAAAGACAAAGCAATTATCTGCATTTAAATTTAAGAACAATAAACTTGTGAATTTGTTTCTGTGAAATCAGATATGTGAGTCCCCCCCCCCCCTTTTTCTAATAGTTCATGATCCTGTTTGTGACAGAAATCCTTTTGTTCCGAGAAGTCAAAACCACAGAATCCTTCATATGCTTCCACTGCGCTCCAGCTGTTACCCGTTACTTCAAACTACCACCGAGACACAGAGAAACATTTCCAGGACACAAACACACTTACGGCAAGACACGACGGTGCCGTTGGCTTAACTGGTTTAAATATCAGGATGTAAACACTAAAAGGAAGCATGTAAACCTTTTCAATCTCCCATTAGAAACACTAGTAAACAGAGAGCAAATTCTGTTCTCAAATGGGTCTGCACTGAAGCGTCAGCAATATTTCATGCTCAAATAAAAACACAAGCAGCTGAAATTATTTTACAATTTTATTGAAAGGAACAGTGTTTCCTCGGATATCTAAAAAAAAAAAAGGAAAAAAAAAAGCTTCCACTTTGCTATCCTTGGAACAACTGAAACATAAGATCAGAACAGAAATGTATCCCAAAGTCCAAGTAGAATTAAAAACTTTGTACAGTATAATTATCAGTCTTTCGAAATAAAAAAAGAAAAATTCATGACGGAACAGAAAAAAAAACAAACACTAAAACGCTTTTGTGTGCTAAAGTATCTGTGTGAGCGTGTGTATGGTTTATTTGTACAGATGTAAAACCCAGTCCTGTGGACGTGTGTTTTTATTCTCTTTGACAGTCTGTTAAGATTACATTCTTCCAGCGGTTTCGCTTTATCGAATCCTCTTCTGCTGGCGCGCGCGGTAGATGTCGTGAATGGGTGGCGCTATGGCTCCCTTGTCGTCCTCCTCGTCGGAGTCGGCGTTTGGCCTCTTGAGGGACTTGGCGGTAGCGTGGTTCTCCATGGGGCCGTTGCCCTCCCCTGCCGCCTCAGGCTGTCTGCCGGTGATGAGCTCCACAGCAGCATCAACACCTGAACACAATCAGTCGTATGACAGCACAATGAAAAACTGAGAGAATATTTTAATGGGATGATACAATTCAATGTCTTTTGTTTGGATTTCATGTGAATAAAGCAACAGAGACGAGCTTGGGAAGAAAGAGGCAGTATTTCCAGAAGAATTTAAAATTCTTAACCAGAAAAGTGTGGCTTGCAGGTGAATGCGGCCCCTTTTATTCTGATGCCCCTAAATAAAATCAACTGCAACCAGTTGGCTTTCAGAAATCACTAGATTAGTAAATAGAGTCTATTTGTGTGTAATTGAATCCAAGTTTAAATCATGAACAAACACCATGATGAAGACCAAGGAACGATGTAAAATATTATGCCACGTGTTCAATTTTTCACGGAGGAGTGGTATGAAGAAAATAATTGTTAAAATAAAAATAAAAACTGTAATAAGCACTGTAAAGACAGTCGAAGTTCATGTTGGGGGGACAGAGAAAACATAGAAGGTCTCCTGGTCAGATGAGGCAAAAACTGAACTTTTGTCTCATCTGCCTCATTGACTTCCACCTCACTATTATATACTTCGTTCTGTTTGTAACATAACACACTGTAAACAAAAACGTAAAATTCAGGAGGCATGAATATTTTTGTGAGGTGCTGAAAGTCTTTTCCTTTAGACTGAAAATATTATTGAACAACAACATTATTTCTGTTGCTTCTCGAACAGAGACAACAAACAAACTTACTCTCAGGAAGAGTACATCTCCTAAAAGTTTCCATGAGCTCATCCACTTGAACAAAGGGACCCTATGGACAGAAACAATTGAAAACTGAACACTGCTGCTGCTGCTGACAACTCATTAAAGAGGAGCCTGGTCGCTCTAACTGGCCGTAACTTACAGTGAAGCACGTAGGCGGAGGGAGCAGCTTCATTAGGACAACAGCAGCTGGAGGGACTGGGAAAACTCCACCAGGGACCGGGTGTAGACCTGGAGCTGTGGGGAGGAACAGAGGTAAGATCAAACATGAATCCATTTACACATCAGGTCTATTTAGAGGGGAAACAGTGGAAAGGCAGCATCAGGCCACTGAAAACAGAACTCAACACACAAAAAATGAACCCTGCATGAAATATTCGGGATTACGTACGAGCGAGGTGACGTGGCTGATACGGGATCATCTGATTGGTGTCTGGTTTGGGATACTCTGGTTTACGATCAGGATCGTCCTTTAGTGTAGGCACAGAGGGAGCCACCACAGCTTCAGGGAGCAGTGCTGCCAGTTTGGCACGAGACACATCCTACAAACAAGCAGGAAGACGTGTCAAACATCAGCACACCTGATCACAAAGTCTTTCTTGGCTCAACTACACTGGCGATCATGATTCAAACTCATGTAACAGGAAGAAAAACACACCTTGTAACCAAGGGCTTTGAGTTCACTGGTAGAGCAGGGATAAAGGTCCATGAACTTGTATCTATCTACAAGCAAAGCCGTTTCCTTCCCCTCATACTCGTCTTTGAAGGCTGTGAAACGTCGGCGCTCTACTTTAAGAATACTGGCCAGGTCTCCGATGTTGCTCTCGAACGCCAAGAACCGAGCCCAGATCTCACTGAGGAGACGATGCATGTCACAGTTCACTGGTTTGGACCGATATCTTCAACTCAGACATGCACACATAACACAGCCAAATGCTTGACATTACCCTGATTTCTCTGGGGACAGGCTTCCAGAGGTGAGGACCCGTTCGAACAAAACCCTAGTGTTGTTATCCTCTGAGAAAAGAATCAGACACATAAAACAACGTCTGTGAAAGAAAGCAGTAAAGCTACAGGAAGGTGAACAATTTAGAGGATGTTACAAACCATTAAGGTGGGAGAGGTAATCAATGTAGGCAAGTATGTACTCTGGAATGTCTCCATACTTTTTCAAACCCAGCTCAAAAATCTTAAAGGCCACTGATTTATCCTGTTGAGAAAAACACAAGCAAGATTTTGAAGCATCTGTGTGTCCAGCCGCTCCTCAAACCACGCACCGAACTTCTGCTTCGTCTTACTTTGCTGCAGTAGTATTCCATCAGAGCTGCAGACACGTAGACGTGGTGACGCGTGCGTAGGTCCTCTCGAGCCTTTTTGAAGATGGCGCGACCTGATTTGATGCCCTCCGCCCTCCTGGCGAACTTCATGTACTGGATGTAGACCAGCGTGGGGTCGATGTCCTCGATCGCGAGCAGTTTGTTGTAGATGCTGTGCACCTTCTCGTACTTCATGCGACTCTGAGAGAGACGCACAAAAATATTGTTGTTGGAGAGGTATATGATGAATTGGTTAGTTTGTTCTGAACTGTCCACTCACTTCTTCGTAATCAGCAAACGCAAAGTAGAGGAGCATGTTCTTTTTGAGGAGAGTCCCAATGGCACGTTCATAGATGTTAGCTGCCTCATCGCTGAACAGCTTTGAATTATTCATGTCCTGAAAGAAAAAGAACAGAAAAAAATAGGAATTAAGACATCAAATGTATCTGATATTTAATATGTGAAAATTATTCAGGCTCAGTTTTGAAAGTGCAGGTGTGTCTTACTCCTTTCTCTGCCAGCAGCTTGCTGGACTGCTCCAGGTACTGAGCGGCCTCATACCAAATGTCGGGATGGTGGCCCAGAACCAGCAGGCACTGCTCATAGGCAAACATCACTGCATCCAATCAAATTAAAAAGCAATGAATTAAAAATGGTCCTGCAGTGCAACAGTAAAATAAAGGGATTTGTGTCAGAAAAGAGTAAAACTCTGCCCTCTAGTGTCGGATCTGCAGGTAAGACGATCTCTATGTTAATAGAGCTCGACATTCAGACATTAACTGAAATAAATGTAAGAAACTATATATGACAACCAAAAAAATGTTTTGAGACAAAACCACCAACATTTAACATTGCACTTAGTGTCACCTCTCTTTGTGATGAGGGTCTGGTCTTCTGTACGGAGTGGGTTGCTTTTTTCCCACTGAATGTACTTTTTCCACATTTCCACTTGCTGGGCCTCCTGAGGGGAGTTCTGTGGTGGGACTGAAGGTGCGTTTCTGTCAAGCCCTTTCATTACTGTCTCATACTCCTGCATTACAAACCACCCAACAGCCTGTGTCAGTTACCTTAAACCGTATTTGGTGCATTATTCAGCGGGAACCTGATTTCTCACCTTTGCCACTCTCCTTGCGTTCATGTAATCCCTGCTGCGATCTTCAATCATCTTTTTAGCCAAATGCACATTGATACCCTGTAAATAAAATTCATAGATTATTCCTGCTTTTGTTGCTTTTGAATATCTAAATCTATATGTATATTTATGCTTGATAGCTTTTGGCATCCATTGTGAGTTTCTGTGTAATGTCTACACATAAAAACTTGCTCAACTTTGTTCAAGATTACAGAAATCCTACATCGCTAACGGGACCAAACACTGTAACTCAAGTCAGTCTTTTTAAATTTCCAGTAACTTTCATGCGCCCTGCTTGCATGAATGTCTCCAGAACTATTTCCATTCTGGAATCGTAATTTGTTTTCCAAAATTAAACACCTAATCTCCTTCAATATTAATGACAGAGCTTTTGATTTTACGTTTCTAGATCAAGTACTTTAAATTAAAGCCACTCTGGAGAGCATTGGGTAATTTTTCTGACTGATCTAATTTCTGCTGATATTTAAGTAAATGCAGTGTTTAGAATTAATTTATATAAATGTGTAATTTTTGCTTTTTGATTATCTTTGCCTTCAACGGAAAGCCAACACAGATGAGAAACCAAAATACTACCACCATCATGTTTCATTAGGTCTTCTTTGGGCGTGTCTGGCCAGTGAATATGTATATGTCATCTAAAAGAGGCAACCATGTGATTTTTCACACCCCTATTACCAGGCAGCAGCATTCGCTTTGGATGGCAGAATGGCAAATATGTAAGCTAATAACGTAAAATGCATTAGGTGCCCAAACAGAATGAAGATGTTTGATTGGTTTATGCTATTATAAAAATAGGGAACCCAAAAATACTGAAGATTGATTGGCTCACTTGCCTCTTCATATTTGCTATAATCTCTCCAGAGCTGTTCAATGTTTATCATTGGGTTCACGCAACCTCTTTGGTAGACTCTCCGAACTGCAGTGATTCTCTGATTTTCTGCGTATGAGCCCACTGCCTCACTAATAGAAGACACAAAACAAACAAGATTTTAGTTTTTGATGCAGGTTACGATACAATTAAGGTCAACGAATTGAAAAAACAAACAAAAAAAATAAACACAAACACTTACACTCCTTTCAGGAAATTTATGTAGTCGACCCAAATCTGAGAGAAAGAAATAACATCGAGTCAAATAAAAGCGGTGAACAGAAACTAAAACAAGTTAATAAAAGTTCATATTTGCAGACCTGGTAGGACATAATTTCCATTCCAATTTTATCAAGGGCGAAATCATACGCCTGGGCCATCTTCTCTCTGAGAATAAAGGAATGAAATTATGTACATTCTCTTCACATGTTGGATGTCATAATTCAGAATGTCTTCTTACTTGTAGCTGGGAAGCTTCCCTTTGGTCTCTCGAACATATGCAAGGTAGCATTTCCACAGGTCAATGTGTAACACTTTCATTAGGCATCTCTGAAACAACTGCAAGAAGATGTGAGAACATGTTGAAAAAAAAAAACATTTTAAATTTACTCTGACACAGAAATCACATACAGTCTGATTTATGTAGCAACCAATGAGCTGGTCAAATGCCCCTTGGGGCAAAAGCTGTTTCCATCATTAATATATTCTTTGAATTTTTCATCTATGTGATCTTTAAGCTACAGTTCAATGCTTGCAGACCTTCTGAGATCATATGCTGAAATAAAATACTTAAAATCAGAAATGAGCAGGCACTTAAACATTTGAAGACTTTATTAAAGTGAAGCAACATAAAAGGTACACACAGCATCAAGCATATTACATATAGATAAAAATATGTGAAAAGAAAGAACTAGAAAGTATTTGGGGCAAGTATTCCTTGCAAGAACAATGAAGACGGACAGTTCAAACGTTATTGAAAAGGCACGACAGAAGATACTAGTTATTTTTTTCAAAAAAATCTAATTAGCAAAATTTCTGCATATTCAGATTACAATCAAACAGAGCTGCATTAAAAACGAGCTTTCAGTTTGGGCACTTACCTTCTCTACCTTGTCATAGTTTTTAGCCTTTATCTGCAAATAAAAGTGTAAAAACTTATAAATATAAAAGCTCAAAGTCAACATGCATTCATGCAGTTTTCATAACTCAAACACACACATTCACACAATGCTAAGGATCAACAGTGATATTCACACAAGAATGACAACTAACTTTTAGAAAGGGGTTTATTTTATTTTCTTTCCACTTGCACCACATAAGCCAAGAAAACGCGATAGAAAAACAAACAATTCATATTGTCAAAATTAATTTAACTGTAGTAAGCCCAGCTTTTAAAGGCAAAAGCACCTGAAATATTAAATAACCATTCAATAATAACTTTTAGGGGTGTATGGCTAATAAATTTGTTTACTGATGATAATCTTCTGACTGTAAAAAAAATTGTTTGGCTCTTTCCAGTAACAGCACTGATTGGAAAGTTTTGCTAATGAGTAAAAATAAACATTTTAATGCCACACATAATTTTGAGCAATTATTGTATCATAATAAACCCAAGTAAAAAATGTTGTACATTAGTATAACATCCCTGCCTCTTCTCATCCTACATGCCATCTCGTCTCACTTTAAATCCTTCCTGCTAAACATATAAACCCATTGGGATATTTTTGGACACAAATGTTTAAATTATGTGCGAGTTTAAGATCAAAGTCTTATCCTTGTGAAAAATGCAAATGGGCAGAGGTAAGCATATTTGTGAAATGGTTTTATCTTTTCAAGCACCCTACTCCTTAAAAAAATAAAAACTGAATACAAGGCTGAGAGGTGTGGGAGGCTATACAGACTGGAGGGATAGGAATAAGAAGATCCTGAACACATCCTGCAAATATTTTGTTCACTTTTCATTAAATGCAAAAAATACAGCATAGAACCTTTAAGTTTTTAATACAGAATGTCACAGTTTACATGGTGTTCTGAGGCATCCCACAAACGATGTGTTTTTGGTCAAACTAGACTTGAAATCTGCATCATAACTTACAAGTGACCTTATTTGGCATAAATGTGTCATAGGAGTCAGAACAACTTGAAATTCTGGCCCAACTGCACACAAACTAAAACAGTCTAGCCTGCTTAAATTTAGCATTTCAAATTCAGGTCAAGACGATTTCATCTTCGCACTAAAGAAAAGCACAGATTTAAACCTCCAAACATTTTTGCCAAAATACGTTCAAGAAGTTTTTATGTAAAAGTTGTTTCTCTTCACAAGTTTGTCATTGGTGAAAAGGACAAATTTAACTTCTTCAAACTAAAAACTGAGCTCCAGTTTCTCCGAGTCCACTTCTCAGCGATGGCTACATCTGGCTCCTAAGCCTTTGTGTGGTTTGCAGAGACGTGCAGTAAAGTGTGAGAAGGTGAAGGGCAAAAGCTCCAGTTCAGCTGCCAATGTCCAAACTCAAAAGCCTTTGACAGTCAAGAGTATAACCTTACACACATTACTGTAGGAAAAAAAAAATATTTACAGGCTATTTCCAGTCACCGTTCTCAAAGTTTACCTATCAAATGTATCAATAGCACAGGGAGTGTAAATCTTAAGAAGTATTCATTAAGTTTAGAGACATTTCATTGAATGAATATTAGTTGTTTACAGCACCATGAGTCAATATTAGTTTATCTACTAACTCCAGTCTTGGGCACCTAATAAATGAATCTTCATAGGACTTGTCTCGATCCATATTTTAGAATACAGAAGGGGAAACAACTCAAGTTAAGCTGGGTCTCTTGTACGTATAGATGGCCTAGCAGGCAAATCGAACATGACAGAGAAAATTTTTATTTTGTACATTTTGGGGAATTTCCAATGTGGTCCTCTGTTGTTTTGTTTAAATACAGAGAAATTAGCACATACATATACTTACCACAAGGGGGAGCAGCTATACTAAGAATGATTTGGTGCACCTCATTGATTGTAATCCTAGGACTCTTTAATTGGTTTGATAATTCTGAGTGTCATTTCAAAAATAAAATCTTTGTGATTGTTCCAATCTAACTAATACAGCTGATTTAAGGAAATTCAGGTATTTGGAGTTAAATGGAGGACAGAAAAAGTACCTGGCAAAAGTATTCACACCCATTGAGCTCATTTGCATTTTGTCACGTCACAACCAGACTTCACAACATGTTACTGGGGATTTATGTAATAAAGAAGCAGAAAGTCATGCATGATTTCACACTGAAGTGAGCAGTGCTTTATCAGAAAATGTCAAGGAAGACTTTATAGGGAAAAAGTGGGGCAGACAAAGCATCATGCTGTGGAGATACTTTTCTGAAGCAAGAGAAAGGTGATCGATCTGGTTAGACTTGAAAAGAAACTTGTTAAAACCTCAAGTACTAAAGACAGGGGAGGAGATTAACCTTAAAGCAGATGACAGAATATATAAATATCAGAATAGTGTAGATAAAAAACAAAGGAATAAAAGTTCTGCTTAGAAATTTTAGAGCATGCGAGGGACTGAACATAGACGCCAAATTTACAGGCCTTTATTTTCAACAAAAATTGAAAATCTTGCATTTTCCTTCCCCTTTATAATTACGTGCTGAAGGTGTAGGTCTTTCACATAAAATTCTTATAAAAATGTAAAAATTCACAGCTGTAACAAAAATGATGAAAGGTTTATGGAAATAAATACTTTTGCAAGGCACTGTAAAAAAAAAACAATGTTGATGCTGGATTTGTTTAACCTTTTCAATTGTAGTATAAGCTTTGTCAATTTTATTTTTCATATATCAAACATTGATTAACAATTTGAAGTGGCAATATGTACAAACCAACAGCTAAAAATATTTTCCCTTTTCTGAAAAATATTTCAATTCCATCTGGTTAAGAATCCCAAATCGTCTGTGTTTAATAATCCATAAGGGTCATAAATCACACTAAAGACACATTTCTTTGATACCGTCAACTCTATACTTATCTTTAAAATAAATAAACACCAATAATATCCTTTTGGTTTATGTCTTCTGTATTATGGTAAAACAAATGACTTAGATCACACTATATTATCTTTATGATTGCATTTTTCTGTTAACATTGTTACTGCTATAACAATAATGCAAATAAGAAACATATTTAAGAATTGAGGTCTATCATGAAAAAGAGAAAATTTGTTGTCCTAAATTTATAGCGTAAATTTAGCAGAAAGATAGTGTAAGGCAAAATATATGAGGAGGTTTTATTTGGAGGAGAATCTACAAACTAATTCACTGCTTAATTTTAGAAAATTAATAAATTTAGTGTAGAAAATGTGACTTTATGATAGAACTGATCATCGGGTGTAGGGGAAAATAAATCTTCTGGTCAAATTGTTGGTTGGATGAAAGAAAAACAGATTCTTGGCAAAAAAAAAAAAAAAAACAAGCAAAGGGTCAGTTTGTGTGTTCAGGAGAAGTGGGGCGAAAGGTCTCAAGAAAAGAATGGGCCACACAATAAAGATCGTCCTTTATGAAAATAACCCAAAAGAAATGACACAGGAGGCAATAAATTGACACGACAAGTGAATAAAAGGCTAATGCACTCCAATACCATTAAAATAGTTTTAATACTGTTGCAGACCAAACATGCAACAAATGCACTTTACCCCATATTTAATATGCCGCAGATGATATGTAATCTTTCGTTTAACCTGGAAACATGAGGAATTATCCTTAGTTATAGATAATAACCCCTTCTTGCTTAAAGGCACAATTCCTAATTAAGATTTGTTGAGCCCAACTGCAAAGTGTTTTGTGTCAATTTTTATAAATTAGGTTTTCATTAGGTTTTTCACTTTGTACACTTTGTTTTAGGAAATTGTAAGAACTCTAACTTTTGAAGAACATCTTTTGAGATTAGACAAAAAGGCTCAACACAAGAATTGTGACTTTAAACTCCATTGAAGTCAGATACATTTGGATTGTGTGAAAATCACATAGTTGATTATGTTAGAATAAGTCTCAGCCATGCACACAAGGGAAAAGAATAAAAAAAAGTATTAACCTCAGCTTCAATGAACAGTTTCCAGAATCTGCCAGAACTCGGGAACTGTGAGACAAGTCGCTCATGGGTCTTCCTTGCTTTATCTATGGGTTGATTCTACAGGAGGAGATTGCATTTACATTCCACTCACTATTTAACATAACAATGGCAATCTTGCCAGTCATGAGGTGGAAGGCGAAATCAAAAGTTTCGTGTTGGACTAAATTCTAACCCCAAGCCCACCACCCTCATTCCCAGTATCCTTATCCCCAGTAATACAACTCGGTGTCACTAAACCTGTGCTTCTCGAATCAGAATGCTCCATGCGTCAAGGTCATATGGGTTTTCTTCCAACTTCTTCTCTGCTTTCTTCACCTTCTCAGGAATATACTCAGCTGCTGTCTGTAACACACACAAAAAAGCAACAAGCAATGTTGTTAGCAAACTCAAAATGCTTGTAGTGATGTGATGCGAGGGCCCACATGGCGCTACACTCACGCAGGAAGTATTTGTGTTAATTAACACCGGACCCTTAACGTCATAAAAACGAAAAGCAGCACAAAATCGACACAAATCGCCTGAAATACGTATTTTCCCAAGGTAGCTTTTTCTAGCTGGCGCCATTAAATGGAACCTTACAAAGCAATATCAAGAGTAAAAAATAATTCATTAACTATCAGAAATTGCAAAGTAACACGACTGTGAACTAATGTTAGCTCGTAGTGTTGGTATCGGCTAGCTTCACGTTGCGACAAAGCAGCTGAATCAATATGGCGCACGACCACGCCACAAAAAATACAAAAAACAAAGTACATGACTTCTTCGCGTTTGATTCTCCCGATAGAGCTGCACACTGTGAACACTCCGAACTGATTTTCGTGCCTAACAATGCTGTATGATAAAACATTAGCTGTGACACAGATATCCCGCTAGCTTGGCCATGAATAGAACTGCGTGTTGCTACCTGCTCGGCTGTTCCCTCCGTCGACATGGCTGAAGAGGATCTGCCCAAAAGTTATCAACCACTACAACTAACACCGAAATAATCAAGATGCAGAAATTTCCTTCAAAACTACTAGGTCATCGGCATAGTTTTAGGGTGATTTTTTTACGTTGCCTTCGAGCAGCTAACAGCTCAACGGCTGGATGGCCGATGACTAAAATGGCGAGAAGGCAGACAGTGATGTTCCGTTGCGCGTGCAGGAACAACAAAGTTACATCCGGCTGTCACAGTTTCTTCAAAATAAAAGCATAGGCTGCAGCATTAGGGATTTAAAAAAAGTCATTCATATTTTTAAAATCGGTTTGATATACTATGATTTACATTCACGTTTGGTTGAATTACACCAAGTTGAGAAATCGCTATGACGAAACCACACTTCCAGAATGAATTAAATCATAGTATGTCTCTAAGCAAATACCGTTTGACATATGTGAGATGTAATGCATGTGTTACAATTAAGGAAGACTGTTAAGCAGAAACAGGAACAAGTGATTTTCCACCAAATGACTCTGATCATTCTGCTGGACAACAGGGGGAAGCAAATCCCAGCCACAGAGAGCGCGCGCTTCAGCGAGTCTGTCTCGCCTGGCCAACAGACTAGAGTAATAGAGCGAGGCAGTTATCGTTCACATGTGAACATATTTAGTTTCTATTTTTCCGTTCTCAAACCGGTTTTTATCAGTATTACCCATTATATAATACCTGTAACTATGTACAGGTTTCCATATACATGATTCCTTCTATATGTTTAACCTAATCATAAGTGTGATTTTAGTCTTAGAAGCTACACACTGAGCAATTGTGTAAGCTTGGAAAACATGTTTATTTCTATTATTTTATTATAGTAGTGTGAGGTATTCATTATGTCTGAGGAAATAAGTCACGATGCCTTTGGGAACAATAAAATATGATACAATGCAATGTGTTTCAAAGCCTAAAGAGTTTTGTATTACTTTTGGTTTCCTTTTCACCAAGAGCTGTGATTGCTCATGGTAGTCAGTAAAAGGCATATTCACACGTCTTTTCTACTTTATGAAGTATGGCGCTTTGTTCTGAAGGATGAAAAAAAATGAAGATTCACATCTACATTTTTGTAGACGATAACAGTTGATCTACAAATCATAATTGATAGCTATACAGTTGAGTGCTCTGTGACTAATTTGTACCCTTTAACAAAGATATTTTCTGAAAGCAATTTGCCTGCTGACAGAGATGAAAGCGGTTCTATCTCTGTAGACTAATATCTGAAACATATCCCTAAAATTTGCACACATCAGAACACAATAAATAAACATAAAATGTTGATGTATGCCACAAAACTGGTCATACATGTAAATCCTGTATATTTTATTATATTTTTCCAACAACTAATATATTTATCCTTTAAGTAAGTATTCTGTGAATCCTTGAAAACCAATATCAAATTCTTTGTTTGTGCCCACACTCTTGTCCAATAAAGTTGATTCTGAATTTTTAATCAAACTTTCTCATAGTGACAAATTAAGGTGGTCTGACAGCTTTTGTTTTCCAAACCCTAGTTGGAAAACTAGTGAAATTCTTAAATTTGATTTATTTATTCACAGGGGTAACAACATTTTGGCTATCCAAGCTGATAAAAATCAAATTATATATATATATAGTTCTATTATACAGTATATAAGTCCAAATAAGTTCTATTTTTAAGGTAATCTGCAATGGATTACTTAGGTCTGACTGATGCCGTCAGTTCACAAACATTTGCTTCCAGTTGCTAGAGAGAGAGAAGGGACATGTTAGAGGCTGGCAGGGCCGCGGAGCTGCTCGTCTAGACAGGGGTTAACGGGCACCCTTTCAGAGATGGGCAACGGCGCCCAACGAGAAAGGACGCGGATCTGAGCTGAGTAGCGACAAGCCGGACTTGGTGTACTGCTCCCGGACGTCCATATGCAAGAGTTATTTCATGTTTGAAATGTGGGAGATGGTGGCGTTACCAAGAGAGAGCTCTCCCTTCCTGTCGTCTAGGACAAGATGGCAGCAATGCAGGCGAACTGTGCATGGGATGGATTTATAAGTCCATAACATGCTCAGAGAAGCCCTGGATTATACTTAAAGTGACTCTATGTGAAGGTAAGTGGCGCACTGAAAGCTGTCAGTTTCCAAGCTGAACATTTGAAACGTAGGTTTGGATGTGACGTTTTACTCTGTCACAACTTGGCTGTAAACTTAACCAATTTTGGATGTCTCTTCAACGTCAAACGTGAGTAACACAGGCTACACTTTAAGTCGTCGCTTGAATTGGTGGTGAATATTTTTGTTTCCCCTTTCGGGCCAAACGGTGATGACGATGTCGTCCAAGGTGATTTATTGTAACGCAACCGCCTTGAAAACACAAGTGTTGTCACGGCGACGAGTTAAGGTCGTTTTCGATAGTTTAGGTCGGATATTTGGTGATTGCACCCTTCAGAGCTATTTAATGGATTAATCCAGTTTAAAACTAACTTCACTGAACAGTATGGATGTAGTGAATTCACTGGTAAGTTCTGTTTTACTCTGTTTCAATTACCTCTTGACTCAGGCACAGAAAAGACTGCCTGTCAGAAGCGATGCTCATGTTGAAGTTTTTTATTTTTAAAGCATATTTAACTGCTATTACAGGCATTAACACAACATAGAATGACCTATTTATAAAGATTATTCAAATGTAATCCGAATAACTAACTTCTCATTTCAGTTTTACTTTCAATTGAAAAATGTATTTTATGTTTATATATATTCTACTAGGCGTGGTTAGTTAGACATATGCTTAGTTAGAAGGTATATCTGAGTTTACCTGTTAAACTCAGGTATAATAACCCTGTGTAAATGTAGCACAGTTTAATATGTAAAGCATAGATGCATTACATTCAATAATTACTTGTCTAAAATAGAAAAGCTACAATTATTCCCACTGTTGATAAAGTTATGTAGTTTAACATTTGTTTGTTATTTGAATATTGTAAGCATGTAAATAAAATATACATTTTATGGTAGTTTTTAATGGCTATCACAGTGAACATTAAACCTTTTTGATCCTATGATATTTATAAAGTGAAGCGTGTGTTGTACTGATACTAGCTGCCTAATTAGTTGGGCTGTCTGCTCAGGCAGACCCTACAGTCAGCTGCTTAGCTGCTTCATAGCTCACCATTTTTTGTTAACCTTGTAGGCGTGATTGGTTGGCCCTGCAGCGTTATACCATGACTCCCTTCCTTTTTACGAGTTTTGAAATGTTTAGAGACAATAAAATTGATCTATCTCAGTGAGGGACGCAGAGGTATTGCAGGTCTCTATTAGGCTGCAGGCAGTCGCTGCTGCATTATTTTATGCTTCATCCAACAAAGGATAAACTCACTACTCTAGCACTTTTTCTAGAATGCCATTGAAATGAATTTAAATCAAAGGGATATTGGTAAAGAGAGTTTGTGGAAGTTTTAAATGAAATGTATATAGCTTTGGCATACCTTGAACCACATAGGCCCAAAATTAAACCTTTCTTATAAGTGTGGAGCAGTGTTCTGCAGGTTTCCGTTGGCGTTTTGAAGATTCGTCTTTGCTAATGAGCTTCAGGTCTTTGAGACTGAAAGCCTTTCTTGCCATAACCATAATCTTTGGCTTCCTTCACGGATTCCCAACTTGATTCATGTTGTGTTCCTGGCTGGGCCTCTCAAAACACAAAACATTGCTATTACCTCCAGCCAGAAGAAACATGTGGGTAAAATTAAAGGATTACTTTAAACCTGCCAGGATTGTGAGAAATTGTGGGCTTAACTTGGCCATTTGAAATAATAACCTCAGCAAAGCCTCCTGTTTATTTTAATGCATTAGAGCCCAAGTTGGCAAACAACCAAAACAGCAGATATTGGTGCCACACAGTCTTTTACAGATCAGGGAATTATTACAGCATGTTTGACTCAGTTCACGCTGGTAAACATTCTGTTTCTAACTAAAATTCTGCTCAAAGTGTTTAATACAGTGATATGTTTAAAATAGACCTTACAGTAAAATAACATTAAAACCATATCTGAAATCCAGTGTGGAACTTGCAAGCCTCTTTCTATTAAAGAAAAAGATATGTTGACCTCATTTAAAATGCTGGTTAACATCATGGGGGATTTGAGTTTTAAATATAGTTGTGACAGTGGCTGTTATTCAGTACAGAGTTAAATTGCACTGCACAACAATGTTTCATAGAAATACAACGAAAAGCAATGTTTTTGTGTTTTTCTAATCTGTTTTTCTTTTAACCTACTGCCCTAGGAAACAAAAACAACTTAAGCCTAATGCTAAGGCAATCACACATGCTTAGCTTAAATGATATGTTTGGATTTTGCTGGAATTAATGTGGTTGAGGATTTAGTCATGAAGTCATTTTCAAACTCAAGCTTTAATTATAGGCTGATCATTTAAACGTGCAGCTGTTTTTCGCTCTCTCTTATGTCGAGAAAGTCACTCCCGCCGCTGTACTTTTCCAACTTGCATGTGTTTACTGGTGACAGTCATTTTATTGCCTGGAACTTCTGGTCATCAGTTGCTTTGAGGCAGGCGTAAATAGCTGTTATCCGAGTGATGTCATCTGGTCGTACGCCTACAGATGCCCGGCAGTAAACAAAACAGAGTGAGAGTTTATAGGGGGAGTACAGTGACAGGGCCGTGTTGTGTTCTAGCCAAGATCGCAAAAGCGATTTCAGTTTCTTTTATTTCCCGAGCCATGACTTTGGCTCATAGACCTTATTTTGCTGTAATTCAATAATTTGTTCATTTCTCACCCAAGATAATTTTGTTTAGAAACAAGTGTGGTAAAACAGCTGTCTCTCTTGTGTCATGCAGTTGTTTAATATCAGTTTATGTAGTGCTGTGATCAGTGCTTTGCAGATCGATCAAAATTCCTGTTTGTGGGTATAACATTTCACCGTGTCATTCAGTCAGTCGTTCATACGTTGCTGCAGGAAGTTGAAGACTAACAATAGCATAAGTGTTGCTTTTAAAAGATGGTCAGGGAGGAGTCTTGTTTCTCGATTGAGTGATAATTTGTAACAGATCTAGATATATCAGATTTGCTTTGGAAACATACGTGCATCTGAAAGGACTTCTGTTGGACTTGTATTGTTTTGGGTCTTTTTCCAGAAAGCATAAATGCTAATGAGAAGGCATGAAAGCTTCATGCCTTCTCATTGCTTTACAATTTTATTCCCATTTTCATTGCTTTGAGTTGAGGCTTTTATTAGAGACGGTCTTGTATTTTAGTAAAACATTTTTATTGTGTTCTGCATGTGATCACTTTATGAGATAACGACTTAACATTATTGGCGAGGTTTGCACCAGTCCTGCTGAGGCAGTCCTGAATGTGATTGTGTGTTATTGTAGAAATTAAGTTGTAGTCAAAGGACTCTTTCACTACATTTGATCATCAGCGTTGGACTTCTATGCTCGTAGACATTCTCAGTAAACGGTAGCTTATGACACTAAAAGAAAACTGCACACAAAATGTCAGACTTTCTCAGTCAAGATAGCACGAGATCACATGCTTGAGGAAATAAGGAGCCTTTTATCCGAAGAGTATGAAAAACCAAGTTCATGAGACTCAGGGAAAGAACCGAAGATAGGTTGTGGCCATGTGGTCTAAGAGAGTAACCTTTGTGTGGTATTGAAAGCATGGGAACAGCATCGAGGTGGATCAGGGCTTCCGTCATTAGGTCTGATCATTTAAGGTCAACAGGAGCCAGAGATGCCTTACTGCATTTTAGAGTGGATTTTGGTGTAGGAAGTAGTGCAGCCTAGCAGAATGCACTCTGGATGAACGTGTGACAACAAAGCATCACACAGACAGCTTTTCTGATCATCTGACAAAAGTGTGAAAGCCTTGTTGGCCCGTTGTAAAGTGTTGTAAGATGGCAGACATTTGTAGCTCAGATATGTGAATCCTAAGCTGGGTTATCATTGCAGCTCCGTTCTTCTTTGAGATATAAAGCAAAGCTATTTGACTAAATGGTTATTCATTTTAGTAAATGCAGACAGCCTTTGTAAATTGTCGTAAAAATAAAATGTCTTTGCAAAATAAATATAATTGCAGAATATGAATAATGTCATGTGGGAATTGTGTGTCGGGTTAGACTTTAACCTTGCTTTTTTAACCTTCATGCACACATTTCTAGTTTTTCTTCTTCCATTTCTTAACCATAAAGCATCTGTTTTTATTTGCGTCTAAGTATTATGATACACATTGAGAGACAAATAGATGCATCAATTCCTCAACTGCACAGATAATTAAAATGATTTCATAATGCTATTTCAACCCATTCCTATTCAGAACAGGTAACTTGCAAATGAATATGACCAATCAGGATCCCTGATGAAACCAAAATAAATTGAAGTGACATTCCGCTTATAGATATTATTTATAGGAGTCTTATGACCACATTTCCTTACAGTCGGCCTGGCATAAACTGGTATTAACCAGTTTAGGTATGCCAAGCTTAAAAGTTGAGTTTTTATAAGTATTTTTTGACAACCCATGTCTATGGTATAACCATGAAGGGTCAGCCAACTAGCCAACTTGTTTTAGATATAGAAAGTATGAATGAATGACCCTTAAAATGTGATAATATATTAGAATATTATAATAACATAACATGCTAAGCTAACTCGATTTACTGTAGATGATGTTTGCTTCTCTCTGTTTTGACAGAGAGCTAAACTTGTTATGTTTGGTGTCTGTTTCCTCTGTTTATTTTTCATCACTGTTCATGTAAACAGAAGCAGGTTGTGTAGCAGTAATAACCGTCCCGTGTGAAACACGTGACCATGTGGGGGACAAAAATAGTTGGTGGACAGCATGACATTCTGCACAATTAACAAAGAATTAGGGCAACAGATTTTGCTCTGGTTGTTTTTATAAAATCTTTCAAGTCATTTAAGAAATCATTGGAGTCCTATATAAAAGTGTGCATGTAAAAATTGATACAACTTATCAACTCTCATCATGTTTCTTTGGTGAGGAGCTCTCAGTGTTTTCTGTCCACAACGTTTCTTTATGTTTGGTAGTTCGTACATTATTAAAAATTGATCTACAATTATACTTATGGGACTAATCTTTGTACTGTATTACCTATTTAATTTATACAATGTAAATTATAAATTGATATTATATACATTTATAATTAAAAAATTGTAAAATTATAAATTTTTGCCTTCAATGATCAGAGATAGTTTTGGCTTGTGTATTTTGAAATGACACTACGATGGACACACACACACACACACACACACACACACACACACACACACACACACACACACACACACACACACACACACACACACACACACACACACACACACACACACACACACACACACACACACACACACACACATTCCTTGGGGCTGCAAAACAGAATTCCATTTAAAGTTTTTAAAAGCACCAGCATGTCTCAGGCGAAGGCTCAGTCACTGACATGATCAGGAAAGCTGTGATCAAAAGAATGGCTGTAGATCCACTTAACTTTTCAGTTGGTAGCTTGCAGCCGACTGTCTGTCCCACTGTGAAGGGAGAACGAAGGAGCTTTAGCGGGTCACCTTTGTCATAGTTGTAATGAAATGTCAGTGTGAGTCAAAAGCACAAGAAATTTATGTGAGACAGTTTTCGTGCCAATTATACTTTTATTTGAGGTTTCTTCATATGAAAATGTCATAGTTTTTCAATGTGATTAGTTGAAATTTATTTGCAATGCACTCTTTCTTCACGCAGTTATCTGCCAAATGTTTTCTTAGTTTTGGAAGTTCCTAGTTGTTTACAGTGATTGTTTAGCATATTTTTGTATAAATGCTCAGCTCTGCTGATGCACATTCATGTTATTCCAAAACATGTGTTTTGTTTTGGGAATATCTGGAACAATTTGTTGTGTTGGCTTTAATTAACATTATTCCAATAATTTTGAATCTTTATTTGTATGGCAGCTGGTAACCCATTCTTCTTTTCTTATTTGTATCATTTATTAAGCTTTGGGTTTGTGATAATAGAGGCTGTCACCTTTTTTTTGGCTTGTTCTAAATTTCAGTCAACCACAGCTGTAAATTTGTAATACTTTGTGGTATTATCACAAATATTTTGTATTTGTGGCAATACAAATACACAGGTAATAAGGCAATTTGTTTGGCTTATTACCTCAGCTTTATTAATGGTATTACTTGTACATTTTTTAATATGCATGGGGGGAAGGAAGGAGTTGTGATGTTTGAGTCTGACCATATTCTTTGTTATGTTCTCATGTGGTTTCCTAACCAGCCTATCAAGTAGAGGTGGTTTATTTTGAATGTGGTGGTTCGGATGTGCTGATTTCTTAGAAATGTTTTCAAATTTGGCTGAAACAGAACAATAGAACCCAGAGAACCCAGATCCAACACCAGTATTTTGGAGAGGGTAAGCGTTACAAATGTGTAAAACCAATGCTAACCAGGTAAAATTTTATACACCTTTCGTCGCATCAGAAAAACAAAAATGTTTGTGATGCTGATAGGCTTTCTGTGTCAGATTCTGCAATCAGGATAGCCAGTCATCTTATTATGTGAATCTTCAGATTGCTTTTCTGAGCTGTGCTTGCAATAATTTGAATTATTCTTACATGTCTCTGTGCAAAGAGTTGTTGAGACACGATCTTACAAGCTCCTTTTAGCAGAGTGGAAGGGAAAGTTGATGGTGCACTGTAATAACCCAAGTGGGCTTGCCATCAATAATTTATTTTAGGATACTCTTCAGAAAGAATACCAAAAAGTAAAAATAGATTTGTAAATATAGTATTGATTAAAGTTTGGAAGCTTCTGAAGCCATGCAGCTTGTATATAATTGAATGCCTCCCCCCTAGATGGAAGTAGGTCATAAGTTCTAGTGCTGCGCAGCACATAGAAGATGCTTATTAAAGTAATGCTCCTTCTTTTGAAGATGGTTTTTTAACAAGACCATTATTATGAAGCTTCCTTACTTATTTCCCTACTTTTCTTCGCTTCTTATAATGAAATCTGTGGCATGGCCAGAACACTCTTAGCCGTTGCTTGATTACCTTTATGGGGAAAATCAGCCTGAAAGATATAAACTTATCTACGCTATTAGACCCAGTCACTGCTCAAAGCTACTCTGGGGAGCTGAGCTCACAAAGAAGGGTGATGACCTTTTTCCTTTGTGCAACAAAGACCAAAAAAGGAGTTGTGCTGTTAAACAAGTCTACTTCTGCTTACTTATTTCTAATAAAATGTAAGCAGACTTGGCACATGTCATCACAATGGAGCATTCTATTTAAAACTGGTCATCAACATCTGCTTATTTTTACCTATCAGTCCCTCTAACACACATTTGTTTTCTGAAAAATTACAGAGAAGCCCCAATTGTATAAACAAGTCTGCGTTTTTTTTGAGTGAAATAATTTTTGTGCCTTAAAATCAGACTAAATTCAGTTCATGACCAGTTGACAAACCTTGTTTCACATTATGGTTGTTTTATTATTGATGAAATTATTTGCATAAGACATACATATTGTAGTTATTCTAAGTAACATTGTGTTCACCAAACCATTGGCCAGAGATTGGAATGGGCCAATAGTGTCTCGATCGGTTCTGACAGTGAGCGGTTGGATTTTCCCTTCTTCTTTAAATATATCAAATCTAAGAGTTCACAACATTTTCTGACTTTAAACAGATCATGTTAATAAGCTCGCTACATTTAATACATTATAGAAAATGCCAGGGCATGGAGAAAATCTTGTAATTTTCTTTTTGTTTTCTGATGTACTCAGAAAATGGGTGCATTCTCTACTTTCTATATGTTATAGTCCTTTGAAAATTTGAATAAGTCAGAATTAGAACCAGGAGATCAGATAAAAAAAAAAAAAAGATGGAAATCAATATCAGCCAGAAAAAGTCTCATTGGTTCATCTTCAAATATAATTTATAACGAGCCAAACTATAAACCTTCTGCAGGATTGATGAGAGTGTGAAATACAGTTTTGTAAAAGTAAAGTTAGAAATACATTAGGAAGGCGTTTGTGTTTAATATACGAGTACATTGAGAGTCATGTCAGTTTTACTGTGTTGACTGACGTCCGAAGTATCTGAATAATACATGAGCACTTGCCACCACAGACACAATGTTTGTATGGCCTTTTAGAAAAAAACAAAAAACAGCAGAATGTGTCCATGCATGTCCACAAGCCCAAAATTAGCTCTTATATCATTTGAGTGTGATCTTTTTCTCAATCAAACATACTCCGATTAAAAGGGGGAGCATAAGAATAAAGCATGCCACATGTAATTAGACACATGGGGCTGATGATGATTTTTAACTTTGTTCTACTCTCTTTATCTCCCTCTTATCCTCTCAGAATTGGTTGCCTAGAAACCTGCTGTAGGATGCATGAAAATGGCAGGATTAGGTCAGACAAACCTTTGTGAAGTTAGTCATCTGCTGTGTGGAGGTGTTGCTGGGAATGCAGTTGGTATGGCATAATGCTGAAGGTGTCATGTTCTTCTCTACATGCACTCCTTCTATGAAATAAGTATGAAATATTTAAAGTACTACCTCCACCTCCATGAGGAAATTAATAAATAAAGCTATTAGTATTTATGTCTTTGTCCTCAGACAACAATCCAGTGTTATCTGTAATCATGAGTAGAAATCTCAAGGAAATAGAAAGTGTTTCGATGGAACACTTCACATAGAATGGCATACTGGTTACTAATATTTTAATTTAACTAATAATAACTTGTAAATACTACATCTTGTTTACAATTGAGCCATTTGATCACAAAGTCAATACAATTAAGAAGGGATGAAGAAGATAAATTGATAATGACTATGTCTCAGCTGCTGATAAGGTGCTGAAACTGTAAATTGTCTGGACTTCCTTAGCGCTTTATCAGATCCAGAGGACCCTCAACACACTTCACACTACAATAAGCCTGATTCACACACACATTCACACGCTAATGGTGGCAAGTTAGGATTGAAACATGGAGGGCCATTACCTCCATGTTTTTGTGTTTTTGTGTCAGCTGCCCTGATGCAGTCTGACCGAGGCGAGACTGTGACCCTGTGACTGCCACTAGCAGGCAAGGTGGGTGAAGTGTTTGAACTGGAAACCCTCCGGATACTGGACAAACTCTTACTTCCTGAGCCACTGTCGACTTCCTTTATTATGTTGATTTGTGTATGCCCAGAAGAATAAACCACTTCAGTGTTGCAATCTTTCACTCATCTTTGTTAAAGATTGTTTGACCAAATGAGCACAGAAAATAAAATTAAGAGAGCTTTATATCCTGAAAACAGCAACTTAATTTGAACATTACATTTTACTTTGTTTATGCCATTGACAACTCTTTCTCTCGCTTGCTTGTTTTTGATTGTGTATTAATGACATCCTGGATACTAGTAACATGTTGCTCTGTTCTCTTTTTGCAGGTATGGCCTCACAAGTCTTGGTCTACCCACCACACATTTATCAAACCCAGACAAGTGCCTTTAGCAGTGTGAAGAAACTCAAAGTTGAGCCCAGCAGCTGTGTGTACCATGAGAGGGCACATCCGCGGACCTTTCTGAACAGCAGAACCGTTGGCATTGCACACGCGACCAAACAAGCCCATTCGTTTGTGAACCGAGACTTAGCAGTGGGCCTGAGAGTACGTGGAGGACAGCAGTACCCAGTGCAGACAGTTGTGGTTCGTGGCGTACAAAGACAGCAGCCTGGTAAAAGAAGAGGGGGACCAGGCCCACTTGCGGCCCAGCAGCAACAGGAAGCGAGGGTCATCAACTCACTGGGCAAGGAGCAGCAGCATCAGGCGGTTGAAGAAAGTGGGAGCAGCGGTGGAGCAACAGGAGCAGGAGGAGGGGGAAGGGGAGAGGGCTGCAGTGGGGGAGTTGAGGAAGGAGGAGTGGGGGAGGAGGGTGACAGAGAGGAGAACTGTGAACGTTTGAACTCAGCTGACAGCTCTCAACGATGTGGGCTGAAACGTAAAAGTGAGGACCTGGATAATCGAGGGAGCACCATGCAGATTGTGGAGGAACTGTCTATGTTGCCTGCCATGTTGCAAACGACAAATGTGGGAAATGCAGCCGTTACTGCACCGACAGCTGTTGGGGCAGGGGGAGGCCCCTCCAAACAGGGTGTAGGGCATGGGGGTGTATGTGCAACTGGAGGAACAGGAGGAGGTGATGGGGACTATCAGGTAGTACAGCATGAAGTCCTGTGTTCCATGAAGAATACTTACGAAGTGCTAGATTTTCTGGGTCGAGGCACATTCGGCCAGGTAGTGAAGTGCTGGAAGAGGGGAACTGGGGAGGTTGTGGCTGTGAAGATCCTGAAGAACCACCCTTCATACGCAAGGCAGGGTCAGATTGAAGTTGGGATTCTTGCTCGCCTGAGTGGGGAGAACGCTGATGAGCACAACCTGGTGCGGGCCTTTGAATGCTTCCAGCACCGCAGCCACACTTGCCTCGTATTTGAGATGCTTGAGCAAAATTTGTATGATTTCCTGAAACAGAATAAGTTCAGCCCGCTGCCATTGAAGGTGATAAGACCGGTGCTACAGCAGGTAGCTACAGCTCTGAAAAAATTGAAGAGCATGGGTCTGATTCATGCAGACCTAAAGCCAGAGAACATAATGCTGGTGGACCCAGTGAGGCAGCCCTACAGGGTGAAGGTCATAGACTTCGGCTCAGCCAGTCACGTGTCCAAAGCAGTGTGTTCGACGTACCTTCAGTCTCGGTACTATAGGTGAGTACAAAGATAAAGGTTTCTTGCTCAGTGAATAGTAAAAACATTTAATTTGGAGATTTCAATTGCTCTCTTTTAATTAAAAAGAGAACAATTGGAACAATATACAACAACCTGCATATTGAAAAGATGCCTTCTTTGGGTTTAACATGTGACCTTACAGCTGACTGATTTCTGATAACTTTGATTCTTGTAATCAAGAATCATACTTGACAGATTTTGTGAACATTTTATGCAGTCTGCGTTGCTGATTAGATTTATAAAAGTTATATTGTAATTCTCCAGCAAAAAACAACAACTTGAGCAAAACAACTTGATATTTGTAGTTACTAAGTTCATATGTCAGATACAAACCAGTTGTAAATGTGTTTTATAATAGCACTTAGCCTGGTTAGCATTGGTAAAGCACAAGCCCGCATGAATATTTTTCAGAGTATATATAATATTTACCTTGCCTCACCTATAAAACTTCCCAACATTTCTGAATGTTGCATGTTCCATGTGAAACAGAGGCTGAAATCACAAAAGGAAAAGTATATAATTTTGAGTTTCTAACTATTCAGTCTGGCAACCAGCCAATTCCTCTGTGCTTCTCTAATTGGTTGATTTTCATTTTTTGCACCTGTTAGAAGTGTTATTCTGCTTCAGGCTCATTGCTCTCTTCATGGAAAGACCTAAAGTCCTTTGTCAGGAGCCTGACAGTGGCGCAGGACATTCATCTATTGTAACAAAAATGCTATTATGTCAAAAGAAGAGTGAAAAATACTTGGTGGATTGAACATTTATTTAGTTACCAGAGTGGTGACCAAGTTTATCCAAGGACTACAGTTAACCCAAGGTTTTTTTTTTCTTCTAGTTTGTCCAGTAGATCACTACTCTCTTAAAAGCTTTTTAGAATTTTACCAGTAAAAATTGACAATAAGTCAACAGTTGACTTATTATTGTGAATTGCATGAAATATACACTTAAACAACTTTACATAGCTTTAAATCCAAAATGATATTTTTACAAGCTTAGCTTTAGCTCTTTTTTCTTAAAATAATAAACATCATTCTCTGTTTAAAATATTAGGTAAATTACATTTTATGCTCAATAGCAAATTGGACAGATTCTGTCATATGGTATCTTAATGGCCAGGTAGTCACTGGAATTATTGATTTTACAGTGTGGAAAACACCTTAATAGATGGTTAGCATGCAGTAGGATATTTTATGGTGACTAGAGATTTAAACTAAGTGAGGTATTATCAGACCTGCCTTCGTTCTTATGTGTGGTTGGCAGTTTAAATTTGGGTTCTCAGTCTGGGTAGAAGACAGTGGCATAAAGTGCTAGCTGTCATTGTGAGCATCATTTACATAATATTTGAATAATTTTCATTGCCTCCACACTAAGAAAATGAATCAGCATGCTTTGCTGGGAATTCAGATTATCGGTGAAAATTGATGCAAAAGGGAGTTGATAACTGTCTGCATTTGCATTTCCAGTTGATTTTCTCATTGTTCAAAGTGAGCAGAGAATACTTTCATTGAGCTACAGTTGCACGTGAGCAGTGGAAAAAAAAATTTTCCGGGTACATTTTCATTAATCCTTTCTCAATCAATGAGCTGTTTCTGTAGAAGCTATTAGCGTTGTTGTGAACGCTCTTTATTTCAGGAAGTCGCTCAAAATAGAGCTGTCATAGTTTTCTGTGCTTTTGTGGTTAGAGGAAGTGAACACCACAGCTGCTGGAGTTTGTCAGCGCTGTCAGCCTCAAGCTTTGGTGAACAGCCGTTTCTCGCACGTCATGCGTGGTGCTGTATTTTGATACAACATACATCAATACCTCTGCTGACTTGGTAATAATGTAAGTCAGGGCTCTGTCTGGCTTCACTGAAGTTGAACAATGTGCTGCGGAAACAGGCTCATAAAGAAATGATTGAGCTGCTCTTGGAATGTTGAACTGTAGCGTTTACCCACTAAGCATGGTCTCACAGGGATGTCTGCTTAAATTTAGTTTGACATAAAATACAGAGTGCTTCATTGGGGGAAGTGGTTGTTTACAACATGGCAACTAGAGTTACAATGTGCAGAAGTAATCGGAGGATAAAGTTTTCCAGGGGGTTAGATGCTCGACAGTTCATAGGGCACCCTTTGAGGTCAGCGACTGTTCTGACTGATTATGATGGCAGGGTTACCCTCAGAAAATCTGATAAGCTCATTGTAAGGCCATTACCTCCGTGTTTTTAGTCAGCTATAAATCTAGTTTTCTCAGTCATGACTGATACTGTCGCTTGTGTATAAAAAGCCCTAGTTAGAATAAAGACATGGCACAAGTAAAGCCTGGCAGCCCGCCAGACTTATGATACACTGGGAAAATCCCTGGATAACCAAGACAAACCCTGTTCCTGTCAGCAGAATAATGGCTGCAGACAGGCGTACATTCATACATCTTCTAGATACATGTTCTACTGTTATGACTTGATACTGTGTGATACGACACAATTCAAATCTTCCATTTGCATTGTCAGCTGAATTTGCCTGGTGCTTCTCAATGGAATTTTTATAAAGCTGTGATGATGTAGATTGATGTCTAACCACCGTTGTGTTTCTTTTGTGGGCTTGTTGCATTGTTTTGATTTAGTACATGCATTGATCCAAATCACTTTACAAGTAAGAACCAAAGAGAGTGCTGCTCTGAATGATTTTGTGACAATCTCTGTGCACAAATGAATTTAAACATTGTTAGTGTGTGATGATATGCTTCTGTATATTTTTACACGCCGTACATTTTATGATTAGCATGTGTGGTGGTTTTGACTTGACTGCGATGTTGGGACAGAGTTGCAGCAATGACTCCAAACCAAATACATGTAGTCTGCTGCTATTTAACATGCACTCTGCATCATTGGCAAGAATACGCAAAGCATACTGTGAAGGAGCAGCGTTGCTGAGGCCGAGAGGAGAGGATGACTTAAAATAGTTCATGGGACTCTGGCCAGTTTGCTTTGACTACTATAGATGGTGAAACACGTCGGCATCCAAAGTCTAAAACAGACAGCCTGAAACACTAGAGACCTCCCACCTACTAACTCAAGGTCAACCAGCTCATCTGTTTTTAGTCTATTTTTAATGCCACGTTGCATTTAGTTTTGTTTAGTAAAACTTGTTTGTTTTTTTATTGGATTTATTTTTTTATTTTTTTATATTTGTGTTATTATGATTTCTGTATTTTGGTGGTTACATTTTTACACTTTGGAGAATTCTATTTTTGGAGCTTCAGTTGACATAAACAAAATATTAAAAATATGTTCATCTATTTAGCTGAACTGAATTTTCAGAACGTTATATTCTATTTTCACCATGTCCTTAGAAGTTTAAAAATAAAATGCTCTTGACTAGTGATCAAATTTATTTCTAGTTATAGATAAAACAGTTACTCATCTTTTACAAACAAGATACTTTATGTTTACAGATATGTAAATTAAAGAAAAAGTAAAAGTAAAGAGCCAGATACAGTGCAAACACTTTTATCAGTGCTTCCTAAATGTCAGCAGCATTGAATATTAAGAAGAAACAGAAAATGTTGAAAAGTAAAATCTTACCTATTAATGCATTAGAAGAATTGTTCACTTTGCTTTTAATGCACTTTGTTCAACCTGTTACTTTCTATTTATTATCACTGCTAGTTTTGGGTTTTTCTGAGGAGACACTTTTTTATCAGAAAGATCTCTAATTAGTGGAAGTGAGTGGAAATTTATCTCTATTGTCTGTTCACTGATCAGAGTAAGAAAAAAAAAGCACCGTGTATTTGAGCACCTGATACGATGGTCATGGGTCAGTCTGTCTAGCCATACTGATAATCAGCCTAATCGGGTGTCCTGCTGGGCAATCTGCACTTCCTTATGTTTTGGGATCTGCGCATGCTACATTCTTTGATTTACGATATGCTCTTATTCTTTAAAAAAAAAAAAAACTGTAAAAACAATACAATACAAGGGCATCCTACTAGATATAACTGTTTATGCAGATGTTTGTAAAAGCTACTTTGCAAACCTCTCTTTGCAAAGAAGCTCTGTGATTAGGTAGCTCTCCAGACAGCCTCACAAACTTGTTTTGTGTGCTGGCTAATGAAGAGTACAGAAGCTTTTTCTAAACCGTTTACTGTTCTCTTTATGTATGATTGATCTCAAACTCTTATGCACCGTTTAAAACTTGGAAAAGAGGTGAAACAAATCCTAGTATAATGCTTTGATTGTGTTCTCACTTGTCTGTTGTAAATTTTATTGCACTTTCATTACAGCCAACTGATGTCACGTGTCCACGATAAACATCAGCTCTACTTCACCATCCCAGCTAAAGATGTCTCTGCTGGTATTGAGGAAATAGTCAAGTTCTGTGCATATACTTTGATGCCAATGTTGCAGTAAAAACAAAATCGATAAATTAAACATTACATTTCAGATGTCAGCTATTAATTCCACATGGCGTTATAGAGTTAGATATTATTCGTAACAGAAAAAATGTGCAAATATAATTATCCTTTTTCTGCAAGATTATTGTTGTTATTCCAGCTGCAAGCTGAGGTCCAAGAACATTAGAAAGTGTTACATTGCTACTTTACAGTAAAAGCTAATCTTTTCAGCATGCCCTTTGAAGCTGGTAGTATAACTGATGGAGAAAATGAAAGCAGCATTCAGTGATTAAAATGAACCTCCTTGACATCACTTTCAAGGATGCCAAGGATATCTTCATTGTTATTGTCTTTATTTGCTAGATTTGTAGCTTAACTTTATGAATACACAAAATCTCCATATTAAAATTTCAACGTTGGCTTGTTGCAGCAATTTTCATGCCTAAGAAATGTGTTTCAATTTTCAAAGAATGGAAATTATTAAATGTTCTTTGTTGGCTCTCTACTTTAGAGTGACCTGAATAACAGAATTAGACTCATTAGCTTTCAAGCATTGATTGTATTAAACTTCAAAACAACAGAAGTGACTTTATGCCTAAACCTGGGGGAAGTAAACTCCATGTTGACACAGAGCTAAGTTTGAATCAGTAAAACGTGTCTAAAGTTTTGTGTCTTTAATCTAAAGTCTGGGAAGATCAGAGTGCATGTGCCTCTTCCTCCCTTTGCAAAGCTGCCTTTGTGTTCCACTTAATAATGCAGGATGCCCAGAGAGTGTGTGGAATTACAGTTCCTGGAAGAGACATGCTTTAAGCCTGTGCTCTCTCATTATGAAGCAGCCATGTTGTCGGTCTCTCGTTGTGACTGAGCTTTAAAGCATACTTTTGTCTGAGTCCCGCTGAGTTTCTCTTGATTCTCAGTTTTGATCAAAGACCTGTGTGAGCACGCCACACACACTGTTCAGCTCTGAAGGTGTGGCCAGCCGTGTTTACTGTGCTGTGGGCAGTTTACACACCGTCTCTCCCTTTGGGGACAGAACAGGGTGAGTTACAGGGCTATTTCTGGACATTGGTATAATGGCCATGAATAAAAAATGATGATGAAGTTAATTTATGGTCACTAACATGTCTCCTAATGCCTACAATTATTGGCTTTACATAAAAAACACTTAATAAAAACCCATTAATAACAATGGAAATTAGTTGTTTCTTTCGTTGGCAAAATGAAAGTTTGTTTCATGTGGCTAGGTTTTTCATGTACATACTTTTTTTTTTACTCAGGTTTTTATTCAACCTCTTCTGCCTCTGGTGATTCAAAGCAACAGGAAATAGATTGGACTTCATCAGACATAAATGTATTAATAATAAAGACAGAAAGGCAGACTAAGGCCAGCAGACATGTTTGAGTACTTGCCCATACATATGATATCAGGGTAGAGGAGCTGATTCATTACATTATTTGATATGTCCCTCCAAACTTCAGCCAGTAATTCAGTGCATACAAAAAGCATCATGTTTGCATTGTTTTACAAACAAAACATTTCCTTACAATATGTAACTGAGCAGTAGGCAGTGAGACGTGTTTGTATGGCAGCAGCAGCAGATACTAAAACAACTGAACACAGAGAGAGAGAAAGATGATGTGTTTCCAGGGAGTTTTTGGAGCTACTTTGTTTTTTAGCCAAGAGAAGCAAAAGCATGCCACTGCTGATTGAGCTTGTTTTGGTTTCACTCTGGGATTGGCGTCACACTTGAGACAATTGATACAAACTGAATCTGTGTTTACTGCTCACATTTGTGTTTCTTGTCATTTAAAATCACTCTTTATTCTTACAAATGGGTTTTTATTAAGTGTGTCTTACGTAACACAAGAGACAATGCGGGAACCTTTGTGGTTATGAGGCGAAAGTAACATTGCTGAGAACTAATGTCTGGTTCTTGGTCATTCACTCTCAATGTTGTTAGTCAGCAGATCTGATATGATTCATCCTTTCATTTGTAGATCCTTTGTGACTTTGCTGATCTTCAAAGCATCACAGTTTAATTGACTAACAAATAGCTGAGTATATTTTTTTTGAATACAATTCTTCCTTAAGGTGTTGCTTTGATGAATTGAGTGATTTTGCTGTAAAACGATACTTATTTTCCTTCTGTATTATCTGTTATGACACAACTGTGCGACGCACCTGAAGAAGACAAGATACGTCAGCATTTGAATTTGTTCCCATCCATCTGTTCAGTGGTTTCTGCATGCGGTGGAAACATCACAAGGCTTCTGCTACTCTGCCGTTCATTGGCTCCTGTGGTTTTATGTCATATTCTTAGAATGAAAAACAGGTTTGATTTGAAAGGAGGGAGGATAAGGCCTTCCTTGAGTTGATCTGGTTGGAACCATGCAACCACAGCAACCTCCACTTATCTCTTCAGGTGATACAACAAAGATGTGCTGTTTTCTAGTTTGTTTTTGTTTCATTTTAGTTTCACTGTTGCATGAATTTTATGGATGCAGCTGTGAGGTGTGAGAACCACAGAACACAAGGAAAGTCAGCATAAGTGGGGATTCATACGCTGGAAAACTGTGCGCATTCATCCACCGTCAGATAAGATTTGCAACGAGGAAGTGGCAAAAAGTGCAACAGAATCAATGACTGTTAGGGGCTGATTACAAAACATCTGTCACTCCAGTGTCTCACTAAAAGGCTCAGTGGCTCTCATCAAATACAATGGAAGATATTTTTCCAAAATAAACATCCACTCTGTCAAAGCAGGATGATGGTCATAAAGCGAGCTGGAGTTGGATTAAGAAACAGCCGTAAAGAGCTCTTGTCCAGTGCTGTGTGATAAGGGAGGTTTAGTGTATAAGTAAAGCAGCTGACGTTTTTTTCAACAAACATAGCACGTTTATTATGTCATGATGTGGAAAACGTGCCGAGCTGTTTTGCTGTAATGAAACTTTCATTTTATGATATTAAAAATAACAAAATTGTCCTGAAGAAATAATACATATTTTGTTTAAGACATGCTTGTGAGTTTTGAAATAGCCAGAATAACTTCCTGTGTGCTTTTCTAAAGCAGTGTTGGCTAAGCCGCCAACTGTTGCTTGCAATTGTCTTTGCTGAGTGATAAAATGATCTAAAACCCAATTTAGCATGCTGTTGCTGTACACGCCCTGCATGCTTTGAGCCACATATGGCTCTAAAGACGTCATGGAGGAAGCATTTCCTGGGTCACTTTAAATATGTCCAACTTTGCTGAGCTTAGTGGAACAGCAAACACAGGATGTAACAGAAGATCCTGCATCACTCTTTAGATCATTTATATCCTCTGGATTGTTTCATGCTGGTAAATGGTTTCACATTTGTTTGCTGAACAGAAGTGAAACAGATCTCCATTACTCAAATTTCCCCGTTTGCTTTTCTATTACTGTCACCTATGCAGATGAGAAAGGAATACTGATGTTGAAATAAGCATCAATTATTTGCCTTTTTATGTAATTATGATTTAACAGACAAAATAATATTCAGATTGTATTTATTGGTCTTGGTTGACTTTTGTGAAAGAGGTTGCATCTTTTTTACACACATCTTACTGGTTCTAACAGCCTCCTTTCTTAATTCCAGTGAAGTAATGAAATGTTTAGCTATGAAGTCACAATGAGTCGCCTCATATGAAAAAAAAAAAAGGCTTACTTTGTTTCCAGACAGGAAGGTCTGTCAAAGTTTTGGATCCACTGTGACTGACCTGCTTTCCCACTGCCACAGCAGGTTGCGATTTGGCTCTGTCACACACACAACACCGGCTTATGCCTCTGTTAGCTCTATTACACATCTACGACAATCCCATCAAAGCAAACGTCATCAGGAATCGCACAGTTTTATCAAACAGGTGTTAACTGCACAAATACAAAAAGCCTAATGTGTGCAGTTAGGGTTTATTTCAAAATGAAGGACTTTTCTTTTATATTGTATTATATTTTAATATTGTAACTTCTGTTTTTGTGTAGACTTTTACAAAGATTTCTCATAGTCCCATTGCTCACCCTTTGTGTGTGCAAAACGTTTTTTAAATAACACGTTTTAAACATGCCGGTATTTTGTGATTAAAATGTCTACGTTTTTTCTATTGCACTTTGCTTTGGACTCACAGGTGTGTGTATTATCTGTCCCACAGGGCTCCAGAGATCATTTTGGGATTGCCGTTTTGTGAAGCCATAGACATGTGGTCCCTTGGTTGTGTGATTGCTGAGCTTTTTCTGGGCTGGCCTCTTTACCCCGGGGCCTTGGAGTACGACCAGGTAAACAACCTTCTTCTCACCTCTCACGTTTTATCGGCCAATGGCTTTTGGCCGCTATATTTGTCAAGATTTTGTCATCCCCACACAGAGCTTATGTTGTTATATGACTCATTCAGCATTTTCTCCTTTTTTTTTTTTTGCACCCATCTTTCATGACTCAGTCTCTTTTTCTGGGTCCTGTTTTCTTCTGCACTTTAATGTTTTTAAGTGGACTTTCCTTCCTTTGAAGCTACACCCATATCTACAGCCTCTCCGTCTCCTGTTTCCACCTTGAAACTGGAGAGGCTGATTGCGTCCATCATCTCTCCTCTCTTACTTTCTCTTCTTTTCTATTCACCTACAATGGATGAAGTTCATTGTATTCGTTTCTGCGTTTACTTACAAAGAAGCAAAGAAGCTTTCCTATTAGCCACTTTTCTTCTGTTTTAAGTCCTCTCCATTTTATGCCAGTAAACATGCTTTTTTTTTCTTCCAAAAAGCATGTTTTTAGTTCAGAGCAATGTCAATCAACTTAAATCATAAATAAATGTCAAAGATCTGTAACATTTACGTATGACATTTAAAATAGTGAAACCTTGATCAGACATCTTATGGAAAATATTGTAAAACAATCATGGTGATAGCTTATTAAACCAATTAAGATACATATTGCTCATGTAACAGTGAGAAAAATGTAGCACACTGTAAACATGTTTCTTGATGACATACTTACCTGAAGGATTGCATCAGCATCTTGTGTGTTACAGTGAGCAGAACAGCACATTCTAGTGAATGATGGTATGTATGTTGGGAGCTCTTTTTGATGCCTCACCCTCTCAGCAGACCCCTGATCTTATCTTCCTTGGACTAGACGGATCAGGGCTTATGTTGAGCGGCTTTCCCCACCCCCCCGCTGCAGAGCCGTGTATACTCACAACCTGCCAACAGACTCTCAGTTAGATCCTCTTCTCTCCCTTGCAGCATCCTATATTACAACACTGCACTCACAGCAATGTATTTTTGTGCTCTGGCATCATTTTTCACCCTCCACAGAACTGCAACAGAAGAGATAACTCAACATCTCCAAAAGGAGATTTGACTTGAGCACAGTGGCACCGAAGTCTAAAGATGATTAATCTGTTTTCATGAGAACAAGTCGGTCTGTCGGCAAAGCTGCTTTAGAAATATCTCGGGGGGACCTTCTAAATTGAATACGGGACTGTCTGGAGTTGATAAGATGAGGACAGAGCAAAAAAATTCTACAAAAAATATATTGGAATATATTGCCACTGTAGGAGACAATGACTCTGAAAACTAGTAGAAGTTAGAGAAAGGCGTGTAAATTTATTGGCGAGAGATCAAAATCCAGCAAATGCAAATCAGTGACAGAAATTGAAAGTTGGGGCGGGCTTCCCTGTTATTCTTTGTTGAAATGTTCTGAGTAACCTGTGCTACATGTCCCACATGTCTAACTCTCCCAGGTCCTGACTGCTGTCGTAAAGCAGGGTGCAGCAAGAGGTTATGGAAATGTCCACAGTGGTCAATCGAAGCCATCAAAGAGCAAAATTGTTATTTGTGCATTGTAAAGTTCTCAGTGGCACAGATGATCTTTGAAATAAAGTGTAAGACAATATTTGCTCCCTTAAACATTGCTTCTGTTTGCTTTTTTTTTTTTTTTAAGCTACTTCTCATCATTGTACACACTTACTGTTAAGCAAAGACAAACTGGGTAAATCAAAGCCAGTGTGAGTCTCTGTTGATAAAGTAATTGCTCCGCCTGAATCTAATAACCAACTGGGTCACCCTTGGCAGCAATAAGGGCTATCAAACATTTCTGATAGCTCGCAATAGTATTTTACATCACTTAGAGGGAATTTTGGACCACTCTTCTTGACAAAATTGTTATATTTCATTTAGTCAGAAACTGGACATTCTTCTTTATGGTTCCATCAATAAAGTCCAGGCCTTGAAGAAGCAAATCAGTCCCAGACCATCCCACTACCATCATGTTCAACTCTGGCTTTAGATCTGTTTTATAAAATGTAGTGTTAGTTTTACAGCAGATGGTATCTGTCTAGAAACTCCTAAACGTTCCACTTCATCTCTTTCGTCCACAGAATATTTTCTCACCTTGAGCATCATCAAAGTGGCGCGTTTAAACTCCTTTTGGTCAGCAGATGTTTTTTCATCTGGAAACTCTTGGATGAGATGTTGATTTTCTTCATTTGTGTATTGTGACTTTGTAACCCTTTTCAGTCTGACAGGTGTCTGTGGTTTTTGCGTCTCATTTATGTTTTTTCTTTTATTTGTGTAGCTCAGCTGCTTCGTAAAACCTTTTAGCCTAACATGTGTTTTCAGGCAGTTCCTTTCAGGGTGATTTTATTAATTTATTTTTTGTTCTACATGTCTGGCAGAATTCTGGTCTTGATTTGAAATCTGTGGTTTGTATTTACTCAAGTATTTTTTCTTTTCTTTTATTTAGCATTACCTTTTGTTGATGTTCTACCAAAACAGGAGTAATGTATATACATCACTTTATGACTTTAAGTACAATAAATTAGTTTAAAAGAAGAAACAATGGAATGATAACTAATTAAATCCTATTTTAATTTGCCAAGCAGCTGCAGGCTGTCACGAATGGTCATGCTGGGGTCACCGGATGATTTGGCTGCAGCTCATGAAGTTTCTGCAGCCCGTCTTCCCCCTTTCTTCTTACCTTTCATTTTGGGGTCTTGTTCCATCCCACGCAGCATATTGTATTTATAACTCTGGCTCTTCCTCTGCTCTCGGTCCTCCTCTTCTTACCTCATTGCCTAGTCTCACTATCTTATACTTTACAAGGATACAAGGCTTCTCATGACATGACAAACTGTGATCCTGTAAGCAGTTATAGATCATTGTTCTCCCTTGCAGCTTAAAAGATAAACTGCAAGTGATGCAGTTGTTTCTTTTGTCTTTGGGACTACTCAGCTTGTAAAAAAATATAAATATATATATAATAATAAGTGAGGTTAGAAGTGTATAGGCCGCCGTTGGAATTCTCCTCTGGAAGGTGGCACAGTTGTCTCTTGACGTCACATGTGACACATTGACATCAGGCATGTAAAAGACAGATTGTGTGATTCTAATACTTTCATTTTTGAGGAAGGTCTTTGGCCTGCATATATTAGGAATGTCAGTGCAGTCTGTACTCACTGTCTTTTCAGCAGAAGGTCCAGTCTAACAGTAGCTTCACGCCTGAGCTTTCTGAGCAAATAAGTCTTCGAGGAAAAATTAGGGTTTTCCTTTTGCAAGAATTTCCACCCACAAGGATCCATATTCTTTGTTGTCTTTGCAGCTACTATGTTCCATAGAAAATACTTTCTGTTTCTGTTTTCTCTTGATTTTTTTTTTTTTTTTTAACAGATGTACATATTTGACACAGAACATGAAAGGAAGAATTATGCTGTGGTTTCAAATCCACCCCTGCTGGGGAAAAAACATTAATATAGGGGAATTTGCAAAAAAAGAAAAAGGAAAAACAAAGAAAAGAGTGCATGATGTTGATGTGCACTGAAAGTTTGGGGATTTCCTCCACACATTCACTTTCCTAGATGTTTTTTCTTAGGTTGTCACAAAGCAGAAGAATTTCTTGGTGCAGTGTAATGAAAATATTTTGGAAGGTAAAGTGGTAACAAGGTGGTAAAATCCCAAAGGAACTTAAACGCAACCCAGAAGACCTCTGCCTGGAGCAGGTTTTTCAATAAAACAGATTAGAGTAGAAATTCCCTTTATTGTCCCACAGTGGGGAAAGACAGCAGCAAAGTGACATGTTGAGGCATGCAGGTTCACCGAAGGATGAAAGTATTAAAATAAATGAAAACAGAACAACAAACTGTACACTAAGGACAATATTACAAAAACCGTAATAATAATTTTTCCATTCCCTGGTTAGACTACTCATTAGCTTGGATCTACATTTGTTTTGAACCCAAAGCAGAACGACATTAACAGTGTTTTATCATTCATCATAGGTCTCTGAAATGGGTCATCAACATTATTGCAGAGACAGACCTTCTCATCCAACATCAGTGTGTGTCCTCACTAATGCTCTCCTAGAAGAATGAGGAGATTTTCACATGAACAGAGTTTAAAACTTGTACACAGTTTTTCCAGTGTTGAAATTATTGCAGATCAGCGTCATATTAAAGCTGGATTGGAGCCTTGGGATGTCAGTAAGGTTCTTGATGTATGCCCAAAACCTTTAGCAATATTGTGGGTTTGTGACAAGCCAACCTGAGCCAACTGTCCCACCCACACTGAAACAAATTGCAGTTTTTGCACCAGCATTGTGAAAACACACATTGAATGGTGCCGAGGAAACATTTTCAAATGAAGAAGCTTTTATTAAATAAAAAATATATTTATATGTACAATGGATGACAGAGCAACAGAGTTGAAATGAATGGAACATCATTGCTATTTGTTTTCTAAACATTCTGTTACGTATATCTTTAAGGATCAAATGTGTGATTATATGGCTGTTTAGACTTTTTCCATACCCTTCATCCTTCTCTAAGTGGGTCTCTGTGCTTATAAGCTGCGCCGAACCTCTAACGATTGTTGTTCTCTGCACTCGGGTGTGATTGACGTCAGCCAGGGTTCTCGCCACTCTCATTTCAAAAATTTGTGTGACATTCTTGCACCACAGCATCTGACTGCTATCCGCTGTTGCTGTGGAAAGCACTCAAACTGTGGGAGCCTTGATATCAGAGTTTATCTGGCACTTTTCAGGCATTATCTGCACAAACTGCAGTCAATATACTGGTGTTCATTTGCAGGACAGGTTCAGACTTTTCACAGGAAAAGGGCATCTTAAGTGGTTCTGCAATTGTTTCTACTCTGCAAACTTCCATTCAGAGTAATTTAATGGGGGTTTTTGAAAATTGTCGGTGCTTGTGAGATTGTAAAGTGCATTTGTTTTAAAATCATTTGATAAAGCGACATTATGAAACTTTAAACGAGACAGTTTCATAGTTTTCATTGCTAAATGTTTGAGCATTGCTCATCTTTCTTTGATTTTCTTTGTTTTTTTGTCCTGTAGATTCGCTACATCTCGCAGACACAAGGTTTGCCAGGCGAACAATTACTGAATACGGGGACAAAGACAGCACGATTCTTTTGCAAAGAGTCGGACTCGCCTTATGCAGCATGGAGACTGAAGGTGGGAACTGACAAACCATAGAACAGTAACTCTCTATCTGAAGCATCAGATTGTGGTCCTATTTTGCTTGCTGCTAAACCAGATTGTCATAGATCAAACCTTAACTCCTTTTGAAATTGTACTCTTCTTTCTACTGGGAAATGCTTGCAAATCCAATGGAACAGGAAATTATGGCCTCAAAATACATAAGAGTTTTTAAATAAAAATTTGGTCACAGTTTGACATGATTGCTGCTTATTTATGCCTAAAATCAACTACCTATGAATCAAAGATTTTCAATGCTAATGTCATTATATTACCATCGATAAACCATTTCTAAATGTGTGCCAGCAGCATGTGCAGGAAACTTTTTTTCACTAAATTTCTATCTAAGATTCTCATTGAATGATTTCTTGTTCTGCAGTCAACAGATGAACACGAGACGGAGACGGGAATGAAATCAAAGGAAGCGAGGAAGTACATCTTCAGCTGTTTGGATGACATAGCGCACGTATGTTTAGCTCTTTGGACTGAAATGTACATAGCAGGACTTTCTTCTTTTCATAAGAAGAAAATGACTGGCATCATTTTGAAGAAAAACCTTGTAATTTCTTGTGAAATTCCAAACTTAAAGTTTATAATGTAAGCTTCCAGTGTACTTCCTCAGAACTGGCAAATTCCTCTGTTTTCTGTCAGTACTTTCTAAATTTTGTAGGTTTTTTTTTTAGATTTTAGGAAATTCATATCCAATTTGTCCTAATTTGCCTTTTAGAAAAGCATGTTCTACTAAAATCCTGCCATGTCACAAAACTTATTGTAAGGTTTTATTCTTATTAGAGACTCATCAACAATTGTCCAAAATCATATGGTTTTGCTGTAAATCCATGACTGGCTGGTCGGAAATTGGAAATTTTGATCCTATTTGGATCTGTGAATGCCTCGTATCCATGAGGCATTCACAGGCAACTTAGGTTGGTTAAAATGAAGTCAGAGAAATTAAATTAGTATTTTCTGACATGTTGAGTGTGTCTGCCCTTCATTCATGCTATGAGAGGACAAATTTTCAGACTGCTGCAGTCTGTTCAGGAAAGCTGGTAGCTTTAAAAAAATGTTATGAGTAGAACAAGGTTTATGTTCTCTTGGGAGAGCGCACAGACTCTGTGTCTTGACGTCAGTTGTGCTAATTGCACATTCCACAAAAAAAAAAAGGCAACCCTTTGTATTACAGGTGAACTTGATGATGAATCTGGAAGGTTGTGACTTATTAGCGGAGAAGGCTGACCGGCGGGAGTTTGTGGGCCTGCTCAAAAAGATGTTGCTGATCGACGCAGAAGAGAGGATCGCCCCTGCTGAAGCGCTCATTCACCCTTTTGTGACGATGCAACACCTGCTCGACTTCCCCCACAGCAACCAGTGAGTCGGCTGTGCCTCACATCTTGTTACATTCTGCAGATTATTATGATTGTTTCACATACCGCCTTCCTGACCGTAGTGTGAAGTCGTGTTTCCACATCATGGACGTTTGTTGGACTCGTCCCACTGGGTATGAGGCCGCCAACAGAAATAAAGGTCCTTTCGTTCGACCTGTAACTACAACCACTGCTGCCTCAGCCAACCTCCCCTTCAGTAAGATCCCAGCTGTTCACACTCAAGTAAGTTGTCCAGAGTGTTAAAGTAGCAACGTCCACTTCTGTGCTTGTACATTTGTGTTTTTCAAACCCGTGCAAAAATAATTATTGGATCAGCCAACAAATATGCAGTTTCTCAGAAGATTAATCATTTCTTTTGGTAGATAAGAAATAAGTAATGAACAATTCTTGGAAGCAGAATAACAGAATAGCAAATGCTGCAGGTTCCTGACATCCAATGTTCTGTTCCTTTCATTTGTTCCAACAGAGACTGATTTCTTGCTTTTATTACCCATTTTGTATGCCGTCTTGCCTGTCTTATTGCGTCCTAGCACTGCTGTCATGGCAACAAAAACACGTCATGTTTCTGAGGTCATGGCAACAGTACAAATCACTGTTGTTGCCGAGAAGAAAAGAGGAGACAAGGCCCCCCAACCTATTTTGTTTTGGATTTTTATAGCGCGAAACGTCTCAGCATCTTTACCTGAAAGCAATCATGCCGAGTTTAAAAACTAGAAAGATGGAAATATTTACATATTGATGTTTGCGGGCAGCTAGAAATATTAGAAGTCTCATGTTGCTTTTCACATGCATAACTAAATAGGTTTGATCACTTCCAATTTTAAGCAGTATCTAATACTGCTGAGAAAGCATTTATAGGAGAAGGTCGTAACTGATTTGGTCTAACCCATATGAAAGCCTGCTTTGTGTTCACCATCATGTGTATGGGGGCTGGGCTCCATGCAGTAGCAGTAGCAGTAGCAGAACAATATAGCCCTAGTTCTCGTTATCCTTTAAATGTGATTATACCCAGGCACGAGAGGAGGGTTAGCAGAGAAGCAAAAGCACATGTTCCACTATTTAAAGGGTCTGACCTGTTTCCGCTCAGCATTGTTAGCTCTCCTGGTAAGTATCCAGATTCAACAAACAAGGCTGACCTCGGCAGGCCAGCCTGAATAAATCAGTCCCATAAAAAGTCATTTCTATCAGCTTGGACATGCGATGACAGTAGCAAAGCCTTAACTTGATAACTTTATCCTAAAGAAGTGGACTCTGGGTATGTTTTTTTGTCTGAATTTTGAATTTGTCAAAACAGTGACTTTGTTGTAAGCATAGATTCGAGGTCCAACACATTCTCCTCGATTCTGTCCAACTGTAAATCAAACTCTGTTGACGGAGCTGTCGCCACCTACTGGCAGAATAAAATATTTTGTTGCTTTCATCCTTTTTTTAGGGTTTAGTTCCATCTGCACCGTCAGTAATGCACCATGGGATACCACTGCAGACTGGTGGTGGTCAGTTTGGATGCAATGACTCGTTTCAGCAAGCTCTCATTCTGTGTCCCCCGACAATACCAGGTACAGCTGCGTTTGTCAGTCTTGATTTCACTTTTATAAATTGTGTTTTTTTTGGGGGGTTAATATCTAAAGGTCAAATATCCTGTTACTTTCATCTTCAGGTATCCCCACTAATACTGCTAAACCAGCTGGCTACTCTGTCCATATGGAGGCCTCCGTACCTCTGGTCACTCAAGCACCATCAATCCAGCCATTGCAGATCAGACCTGGAGTCATCACTCAGGTAGGGGGTGGATACGGATTACACTAATAACTTAAAGTGTTCATACCCTGTAAACTTTTCTTTTAATATTTGTTTCATTACATCACAAACCAAAAATGTTCAGCTGTTATATTTTCTGGTATGTCGCAATGTAAAATGGTGCATAAGTGTAAAGTGGAAGGAGAGGAAGGAGAGGATACATAGCTTTTCTTTTTTTTTATATAAATAAAATGAGAAAAGTGTGCCATCCATATATATTCAACTTCCCTGATTCAAAGTGTTGTGGAAATAAAATTTGCTCTCACATTTTGAGACTGAAATTTCTGCCCACTCTTTCCAAGTCTTCTCAAATTCTCACATTTTGGTCACAGTCTAGTCTAGACTGACCCATTCTAACACATGAAAATACCTTGATCTAAACCGTTCCATTGTAGCTGTGGCTGTATATCCGGGGTCATTGCCCTTCTCTTAAGGTTAACTTTGACCCTACGTTCAAGTCTTTTGTGGCCTCTAATAGTCTGAAGAAAAACATCCCAGCTGCATAATTCTCCCATGTTTCATTGCTGGGATGGTGTGTTCATAGTGATGTACTGTGCTACTTTTGCTCCATGTGTAGTGTTTTGGTCTAATCTGACAAAAATAAATTTGTCACATGTTTGCTGTGTCGCCTACACAAGATGTGACACTTCTCTGTAATGCTCTCCAGCAAGTACCCGTAGCCAACAGAGAACAGCTGCATTTATACTTATATTATCTTTCATACAGGCTCTAATTTTGAAAATATGTGACTTCTGGAGGAGGTTGTTTTGCACTGAATTTTATTTCGAGGTATTAAATTAAAAGAGGCTGAACTCATGTGCACATCGCACGCTCCGACATTTACCTGCAAAATCTTGCATATTTTTTTCTTCCTTTCCCCATCTCTGTGCTGCCTTGTGTTGCTCTGTCTCATAAAATTTTCATAAAAATATTAAGCTGTTTGGTTGTGATCTGACAACATGTTAAAGGGCTGTGAATATATTCCCAAGACGCTTGTATTTAGACTGAGAGACTGAGGTAAAGTTTATACCTAATTAAAATAGGTCAAATATTCAGTTGCTATTTTCCAACACACTGACAGGCCTGGTCGAGCCGTGCCCAGCAGATCTTGGTGCCCACTTGGCAGCAGGTTACGTCTGTCCCCCCACCATCAACAACACTGGCTTCTGACACTGTGACTGGCACACAGAGATTAAGTGACTGGGGGTGAGAATCCTTTCTATTTTAGTACTACATATCCTCGATGTAACATACTTTCACTGTAAAAGTATAGCTTTTTATTTGATGTTTTTTTATTTTTATTTTTTTTATTTTTGGTTGCTATACTTAAGGAATGGATGTAGTAGACTGAAGCTGTATTGTTTATTCCCCTTACTGACAATGAAGCCCGACTCAAAGCTGACCTTTGACATTCAGAATTTGGGCTTAAAGCTTTTGGCTTTTATTTTCTTATTGCAGGAAAGTGCGTCCCCATGGTAACCATTTCAGCTCCATGATTGCACACCCTCAGCCGTTCCTAACCAACCAAATGACTATGTCCACCCACCAGCCAGTCAACATAGGCATCGCACATGTGGTGTGGCCACAGCCAGCGGCAAACAAGCGAGCGAAGCCTTGTGTGAACAGGTACTGCACATGGATTTTATCCTTAAGAAAGACACGAAAACATGCGGCTATGGGAACTGACAACCTTTTTTCTTTTCGTTGCGCAGGGGCAGCAGCACCTCCCAAAACACAAACATCCAAAATGTGGCATGCCAGTCCCCAAAAATGGCCGACACAGCAAAGAATGTGGAGGAAATTGAGGAGGAGGGAGCCAGATGTCAAGAAGAAGGGCGCACCATAGAAGAGGGGCGAGTGGAGGATCAGGTCGAGGAGGACGATGAGGAGAGCTGCTGTAAAGTGGAGCCAGACTGCGAGGAGCTCTTGGTTTCGCAGGAACAGCGGCAGGAAATGTTGATCTCTGGCCTTGCCAGCCCGACTGTTAGTGTCATCAGTATCAGCAGTGATGAAGAGGAGGATGCACAAAGACACTCAATGGGAGAGTAAGTACTGAGCATCGGGCTCAATTTGTTTCTCATTCTAAAGGCTTTCACATCTTATTTTTACTCTGCTTACCAACTCAGGTGTAAGGGCAGTGCAGATTGTGAAGCATGTCAGAGCACCATCAGTATGGAGAGAGTTTGTTCTCTCAGCAGTCCAGACAGCACGCTCAGCACCAGCTCTTCAGCTTCAGCCCAGTCCAACAACTCCCCGTGTAAACAACCCAATAGGTAAAACTCTACTTTTGATCACGTTTTTACATCCAGGGCATTTACACAATTCAACAGAAACAGCTAATTTATCAACCTTTTCCAGCATGTCAGATGATGAACAGGAGAGCGGTTGTGACACGGTGGAGAGCTCGCCTGCCTCGCACAACTCCGGCCACAGCAGCAGTCCCTTTACCGAGCGCCGCTACATCGCCGACAGCAACCAGAACTGTGAGCCGCGTGTGGCGTGCGTTGCCCCTGAAACTGAGCCCAGCAAGCCTACAATACGCACCGTTGTGGTGCCTCCAATGCGGGTGCAGAACAATAACAACTGTTCTATCAGCGAAACATCTGGAAACACAGGTAAACTTGAAGCCTAAGGTTTTTAAACAGAAATGCATTTAAATGTTTGTTTCCTTAAACGACGTATATCATTATTTTTGCGCCTAGCCATTGACTACCATTGTTCCTCTTAACCCCAAAGCCATCAGCCCTCCTGTTTCTCCTAACAACAGAGACTTGCAGTGATTGTCCAAGTCTCACTTTTTCTCTACATAATCTGCCCATGTTTCAGTCATGAGGGTTTTTCTCCACTGCATTGATGAAGCTGACAAAATGTTATTTCTCTCCATCAGAGCTCTCAAACTCTGTAGGACTGTATGTAGCTAATCAAATTACTCATAGATATATGATGTCAAATGTTATCCTTCCTTTGACTCAGGCACAGTGGGAAAAAAATGCTGCTTCAGCAAATATTCAGTGAATAAACATTTTTTTGCCATGATAAACAGTTACCAAGACAGACAGCTACCAAGTGCTTAAGTACGTTATGTGAAGTCAAAGGTCTGGTCAACAGTGCTGCTGTCTGCTCCACAGGTCACATGGCCTGGGATTATGCTGTGTTAGTAGGCCACAGAGGTTCTCACAGGTGACTATGGGTTCCCTGCTGTGACGAATCTGCTCTGATTTCTGATGTGAACACTTGCATGATGTCTACATTTCTCTAAATCTGAGATCTGCTGAAATTGTGTGGATCTGCACTTCTCAAATCTGCCTAGTACATGTGTAATAACCACCAAATGTCCAATGCTCTGAAAAAAAAATAGGTAAAAGTTTAGTATTTTTTTGATATTTTAAAAAACTAATGTTTGAAGTGTAGCTTTTCTGCTGTTACACATTATCTCTGTGGGCTTTGTAACTGCTGTGAAGAGTAATTTAAGTATAAATTTTTTCTGAGTTTAAAAAGTGAAGTGTTTGGCTTTAAATCCTAAAAGAAAATTATACAGACTCATTTTGCTTTCGTGTCAATGGCATATCTCTCCCCTGTCTTTAAACTACTACAAATGAAGCCCAACATAAAAGGGCACATCTCTCTATTTTAGTGCTGAAAGATTTATTTATAGAAAACAATCTGACCCCCACCATAAGCTTTATGATGAAGCTTAGTTAGAAACCTCTCCTCTTCTTCAAAAATACTTCTATTTATACCCATCTATGTTTTAAGCTTTGGAACTGATCCTACACAGCTGAAATCTCTGATAAGCCCACAGAGCTGCAAGTGGGTACCGAGATATGCTGTGCATTTGCAGTTGTTGCAGTTGGATACATGCTCCAGCTCAAGTCCTATTTGCTTGTTATATACTTTCTGACACCAAGACCTGAGTACCAGTATTTCTGTATTCACCTATCTCTGTCTCTCTCTCTGTCTCCTGTTACATGACCTCTCCCGGTCTTAGAGTCTTCGTGCCACTCCAAAGGGCGAGGCATTCCTGGGCGACAGCATCACCACTCCACACTGCTCCTCAACAGGCCACAGAAAATTGGCCCTGTGTTCCAGCCCCAGCAACAGCAGCCTATAGGCTTTGGGCAGGTGAGGGAATTCACAAACTCAGTATTTAAAATGAGAGTAATGGTTGCACTTCCATTCTTTTAAAGGGTTATTAAATGCAGAAAACAGTTGCACTTCATCAGTCGAGCTTAATTTGGCAGCATTGGCATTGATCTGATGAGAGTCAATTAGATTGACTCTCATCAGATGAGCTTAGTATCTCTTGGTAGAAAGACATGTTTCACCTTCTTAAATAGATCAATGACAGAAGTGTACGTACTCTAGCTTGCAGAAAGCTGGTGTACTTTCTTGTAAACGTAATGCTGATTTTTGCTTGTCAAACTTTTTATACCGCTGCCAGTTTAGGGTATTAACATTTAGCATCTGTGTATTTTGAGGGGAAGAATTGAATCTGACGAGAAGCTGGCAGTTTGTAAGGACTGAACTTGTATAGCGCTTTTCCAGTCATTTTGACCACTCAAAGCGCTTTACACTAGAGTCACATTCACCCATTTGCACTCACAAGCGCACACACATTTATGCACCGACACGCAAGCCACTTAATTTGGGGTTAAGTGCCTTGCCCAGAGGCATATCGACATGTGGCAGGAGGAAGCTGGAATCGAACCTACTACTCTGCCATACAGCCACAGTCGCCCACACTGGGTGACTTCTGCAGATACTTGGGTGGTTGTGACTGCATGTGGGTAGTCAAGAGCCATAAGGAGAACACTTGAATCGCAAATGTTGTCTTTTTGTGGCAGTGTGTGTGATTAGTTTCCAACGTCATGTTACAAATGGAACTTCATTCACTCCACTATCTGTTCTGATGTCCACACTCCTAATTATTGAACAGTTCCACTGTATAGTACTGTGTCTTGTTTGTTTTAAGTAAAAAAAATCAGATGATGATCTGCGATTGTAAAGTCAAAAACTGAATAAAATATTAAATGTTGTTTTATATGTATTAAATGAATCAATATGAACAACTCTCAACTAAAACAAACTTTTAAACTGATTTATTACATTTGAACTTTTTGTGAGTTGAGCAAAGACTGAAACTAAAATTCTGGATCGGTGTGAGAAGCCTGTAAAGTGAACCATTCTGATAATGGCTCCATACTTAAAAGTAACAAACAACCACAAAAATCTCAATCAGTCAATTAAACTTTATTACAGACTCTTCTGCACAATAACACACAAAATATATAATAGAATCTAAGAACACATGCACAAAAAACACATGCAAAACATAATTTAAATTGATCAGTTTAAAAACAAACTGGGCATCCTGAAACTAAATGAGTAGCTAGAAGGAATCAGGGCAATTTGTGATCAGTACAAAGATATTTTTTGCAGGACAGATCAAAAGTTTTATGAAATTTACATTGTTGGAAGTGTTTTAAATGTGCAAGCACAAACCCAGCTTTAGTCAAACTGAACAGAAACTACAGCAATCTTTCTAAATATCATCACCATTTATTTAATCATTTTTAAAATGATCACAGGAAACATTGTCCTGCTGGTTTCTGCAAATGGCAGTCCGAGTTCATTTAGTCTTTTTTTTTATACCAGTACTTCTCGGTTTGAAAACTAGCAGTGTCGCCTGCATAAATAAGAAAAAGAAGTCAAGATTATGCGCATTACATTACAGATATGTTCTTCTCTCCCTCAGGTCCAGCATTTCACTTCATGCCACCAAGAATGGAACGGGAACTTTGCCAACCGGCGACCACAGGCGTACATCCCTCCCACCATGCATGGACACACCTTCACACTTTCCCACAGCAGTCCAAACCACACAACAGGCGCCCACCCCCATCTTGGGGGCCACCCGCATTCTCAGCCTACTCTGTTGTCGTACCCTGCGTCTGGCCCTCTGGTTACAGCGGCCCCCGTGGCCCACCTGCTGGCTTCCCCTGGCGCCTCCCGCCCCGTCCTCCAGCCCACGTATGGCATATCCCACCCGGCAGGCATTGTGCACCAAGTGGCAGTGGGTATCAACCCCCGGCTGCTCCCCTCCCCCACCTTGCATCCACAGAGCCAGTTCAAGCCCCTTTTCCCCCCGCACTCTTACATCGCCTCACCTGCTTATGGCAGTTTCCCCCTCAGCCCCACCAAACTAAACCAGTACCCCTACATTTGAGTGTGGCTCTGGTACCTTTCCTACCACCTGGTGGCTAAGCAGGGCAGCATCCCATCCTAAACCACAAACAACATGGTTTTCATTTCTAATAAAAAAAAAAAACCATGGCACAACCACAGAGAAAACAAGCTATTTTTTGAATCATGTCGACTTGGTTGTAATTGAACTTTTAAGCTTTAAAAAAAAGGAAAAAAAAAAAAGAGTTCCAACGGTGGAGATGATCTGGCAAAAATTAAGAAGGAAATAATGTATGAATGATTGAATGATAGAATGAATGAGTAGTTAAACTCACACTTAATGTGTTTTGCACATTTGATATATCTTTGCATTGGATCTTCTACGAATACTCCTCAAGACAGATGAATAATTGGGGTGTTGTTGAATAGTTAGAAAACCCCCCGGTCCCAGCTATTTTTCTACATTGCCTTCTTATGTGTGCAAGACACATCCATATTTGTAAAGCCATCCCAGTCTCTAGCTCTAGATTGACAGATGCACATGTTGTCCACGGTGTATGTTGTACTGCGTTTGAAGTATTTGTACCTTTTCTGTGTCTTTTGATGTTCGCAATGTCAAGTCAATTATCCGATTTAAATAGGGTTGTTCATCACGCTGCATGTGGTCTTGCATGAGCAAAAATGTAAACGGAAAGATGCATAGACGTTGCTCTTATTGTTTGTGTCACAAGACTCGCTGCATTGTATAACTGTCCCCAGCCATAGTGCCTTACATATTTGAGGTTGTTAATGTTACTACTTATATATGACTATATACATGAATATTAATGTACTGGACTGCAGCACTTGAAATTCCAATCAGTCGATGCATCCTATGTGTGAGTATATATATGCACATGTGTATATGTTCCATGCATAGCCTGCATGGATGTGATGTATCGCGGACAGCGGTGCTTATTTTCGGAGTCTTTGTATATTTCAGTGTGTGGTGAGTTCCTTTTCTGTTCTTTCAAGAAGAACGGCATGCTTTGCTGTTGCGAATGCCTGCTGTTTCCTTAAACACGTTTGATTTTTTTTTCCCTCTCTGTTTCCGAATGAACTAGTGTACAAAGTGCAAGTACTGGATATTGCTTAACATTTGATAATCACTTTCTATTTAGTGAAACTCTTACTACTAACAGTATTTGTACTGTTTAAAAACGGCAATACAATCTAAATAGTCGTCGGTTATATATTTCTTTGCTTTTTTTTGTCTTTCTAATTTTATTTGGAGTGTTTTCACTTTGTTTTTAGATGTTTAGAAGTGTGACGGGCATGGCTTTGATTAGGTAAGATTTAAAAAAAAAAAAAAATGCAAATTCGTTTTACGATATGGAATATTCTTAGCCTGAGCAAACCATGCAGTATTTGATATACACACATATATGACATATATTATAGAGCTAGAATATTTAGTACAGATGCTTGTTAAGGTGTGAGGTAATTGTGTGCAATTCTCTCGTTTATGCATGTGTGACAAAGTTAACTTTTCCCCTTTACATTGATACCATTTGTTAAAGGCTTAATGCTTATCAATGTCAACTACTTATTTTATACATTCCGTCAGGGAGAAAGTGTGTAAAGAAAAAAAAAACATACACACACACACACACACACACACACACACACACACACACACACACACACACACACATATATATATATATATATATTATATATATATATATATATATATGCACAGAACTTTATATATAAAGTGCTGTGTTTTTATCTTCTTTATTCATTTAGAGTGGTCCTCAAAAAATGCACACACCCCTGTTCAAATGGCATATTTTGTGATGTGCAAAAATAATTGTAAAATTAATTTTGATGAATATCTGCCCTAAGTGTGTATCATCTTTAATATGACATTGTGGAAAATATGTGAGAGCTAAAAACCTCTTGCACATTTCTAATTGATTCACTTTGTTGAAGCATCTTGTCAGTCAATTTCAGTCTTCCTAAGTTTACTCAAATGAGTTGGACAAATCAGAAATGAAATGCAGCTGACTTGTGGGATTTTACCTTTGTTTGGTCATTTATATCCATTTGGTAAAAACCTAGTTTGCAGAGATGTTACCTGGATAGGATTTTTATCTACCAAGATATCAGATGTGGGAAATTTCACCATAGTGGAGGTGTTCACTGATGGTTGGAGAATAAATAGGAAAATGAGGACTTTACATAAACTGAAGTTTTTATCAAAACTAATGAAAAGAAGAAAGTGAAACTGGACAGAGAGTCAACAAACAACACCAAAGGACCTGCAGGAATTTTCAAAATGGTGGCTGCATTTTCACAATATCTTGTCACAGAATCAATTAGAGTCTGATGAAACTATTTTTTCCACTTTTTTTCTGTGACTCCAAATGTCATGTTCAACATAGCAAAGAAATCAAAAGAACGTTGTACCAATAGTCAAAGATGGCAGCGGCAGCATTGTACTTTAGGGTTTCCTCTTAAATGGAACAGATGTGTCGAAGTTGAAACCGTAAATAGTGAAAAGATCCCAAAATGTTCATCCAGAAAGTTGAAGATGGAGACTGAGTTTGTTTTTCAGCACCATAGTGAACGTTAGCATGCACCCTAATCAACAAAACATGACTTCACCGGAACGAAAAGAAAATCTGAATGGCTTAGTCTGGAAACCAGAATTAAATTTGACTAAAAAATCTGCGGGGAAAAAGCTACACAAAAAATCTGTGTGAAGATGGATGGGGACAAGAAATGTTTTCATAATCTGACAGGTTTAGCTTGCTATCGTGGGCATAGATTAGTCAAGACGTGGCCTACTGATGGACTAAGGGAAACTGAATACTGACAATTGAATCCAAAAATGTTTCCACAACGTATTCTTCTAAGGGTGTGAATATTTTGGCAGGCAAGTTGTCTTTTAGTTAAATTTTACTCAACCCAGACCTTTAAACATGGGTGTGTTCTCTTTTGGGAGCCAATGTTTTAATTTGTTGTGTGTATTTTTTTTTTCCCTTTTCTTCTGTCTTGTTTTTCAAATGACGTTGCTTGTGCAGCACCAAAGACTGTAATTCATATATTGAGCAAGGTAGCTATTCTGTTTGCATAGACCTCAGTTATACTGGAGTTGTAGAATGAGGTTTTGTTCAAAGGAAAAAAAAAAAAAGTTAGATTAGAAAAAAAAAACCCAAAAACAGCTGATGTTTTGTCTAGCTTATTGGGCAATTAACAAGTCCTATCATTTCTTTCTTGAATGTATCATAGATAAGCTGCTATATGATGATTGCCACTTCAATAGCTGTGAAATTAGGTGATTTCTCTCTGAGTTTAAACCTAGAGTTTTGTATAGGTCCCTAATTATCTGAAATAGAAGTGGTTTTGATTTCTGTGTTTGCATTCATTTTCGGAGTGTCACTGTAACTACTGTATTTGCTGATGATGAACATTAGTTGGATTTGTTGTTCCTTGGGGTGCGTGTTTTTTCAGCATCAGTATTTTATCCTTATTAACCTCTCGGGCTCGTCACTGCATATAAATGATGTATCGATGTAACTTAAGTTTTGTATGTTTTCATATCGATGTTTTGTACACATCTGAAGCTGTAGCTTGCAGGATTGATTTAACTTTCTCATTGCACGAACACCGTGTATTACCAGTACTCTTTTTCTGAGTTATGGGAGCACTGTGAGATACCAGAAAACAAACAACACCAAAAGCAAACAAACTACGAATCCAGTGTGCCCCTTTCACATTAGACACTTGTCATGAAGCACTTACAGCTAGTGAGGCTTGGAAATGTTTGATTAAAGAAAGAAACATAAATTTACCCCCAATGCTTTTGCTCCAAAACAATTTTCACAACTTGTTTTATGTCAAAATGATTACAAGTATTTACTGCAACCTTTTGTATCTGTTCAATGTTCTATCTGCTTAGAATACCAGTTGGATATTCTAACCTGCCTTGCGTTTAGATCGCTCTCCCCTTTATGAGTGACTCATATCAAAGTGTTTTTGTCAGTGCGAGGCGGTGGCCGTTGTTATGTGTCCTTTACTGAAACTGCGACAGTGTAAGCAGCACTGTGTATGTGCCTTGAGATCCAGAAAAGCGAACGGACGAAGAAGGCAGAGAGTCCAACTCCACGATCATGTAGAAAGTCTCTTTTTGCGGCCGCTTTACCAAAGAGAGAGGGGAAAACAAATTCAAAAGTAGGACTTTGTCATAGAGACATGCCAGAGAATTTGATCTGCTCCTCTCTCAGATAGTCCACAAAAAAGCCTCTGTGTGACAACAGGCTGATAAAATAACCCACAGTTAGACTTTGAATGATATGATGCATGGTGGTCTTCAGATAGTCACTCTAGCTGAACAGCAGATGCAATACTTTCCATTGTGCGGTCGTTGCACCACAAAGTGTTCTTAGATCATCTCCACGCTTTACATTACCTTGCATGAACACATACACACTTCGCTTCACTTTTGTTTTCTGTCATGCAGATTGAGGCTAAGTTGGAGCAACTCGAGCACAGCTGACAACACTGGTCTTTAAAATCAAAGAAGCTAAAGTTTTTTTGTTTTGTTTTTTTCGTCTGGTTGTTGATTTCGTGCTCCAGATGAAAACTGCTCATTACATTCAAACAACCATCCTGATGCATCTTTGTGTTTTTAGAGATTTTGTTTTTTCTTAGTTGTTTGGTTTACTGAACACATTCAAATGTCACTTTGGGAAAGAAATCTTATGATGATGAGGCATGAACTAGATACATTAGTGCTTGAGATAGGTCCCCAACAATAAGCATGTGAAATGTAATCTGTGTTTTGACTCCCTCAAAGCTTTTTCACCAGCAACGCGCCTGCATCAACTCTCCCGTATTTGTCACACAAAACAATGGATGCAAGAGGAGAGAAATCTTTACACTCTTTTCCATTTTATTTTAATTGATTGAAATCTTTGTTCATGGATTTTGGAGGCTTGTGGTCACGTTTAGCAGATAAAACAGCTCTCAGTAAAATGTCCAGTTGTTGAAATTACTGATTTTGGTAATGACATTATTGTCCTTTAGAACTTTTACTTCAGGGTCTCTTATTAATCTAAATGTACTACGATGTAACTCTTTGATTTGATTGAACAAGGATTGTTTTCTCGAGGTCTTCTTTTCAGTCTTCTGGTCATCTCTCTCAATTTCAGAGTTAATTCACACTGCAAGTTATGGAATCACCTGTTCAGACTGCTCTTCAAATATACTTTATTATGAAATCTGAACTGTTACTGTTTTAATACCTGTAGATTTTTTGTGGCTTTGTTTTTATGTTTTGTTTGCTTTTTTTTTCTTCTTTTTGTTTTGATTTTGTGCTACACTAGTTTGCCATGTAGCAATTGCACTGTGCAATATTTACAGTATAAGGACTGGGAAAACTAACTCTATGGATGTGATGTCTCTTATACAGTTTGCGATAGTGTTTCCTCTCTAGTTCTCAGTGATTTAGGTGTGACCAAGCCTTCTCTACTTTGTCACATTAAGCGGGTTTTCCAGGTGACTCTTTTGGTGAGTGTCAAAATAAGACTTTATGGTGTATTATTGTTAAAATTCACTTTGAATTAAAAAAATCTATTGATGCAGCCCTTTCCGTGTCCCGACTCTTCCTCCATCACCCACTTTCATGGTCAGTTTCTTTGACTAGGGCAAAGAACACAAACGTTGACAAGACAAATTATATAATTGTTTATAGTTTTGAATTGTTTTTATATGACAGAGCAATTATCTAAGTATCATACATTTAGTTTAGATAAATATTCATGGATGTGTATTTAGCACTAAACTTTCAATCATGAAAAGTTTATAAAGGATATTTATAAAATTTAATAAAATTTTTGGAAGGTTTTAATACACTCAAATCATGTTTTAGTCACTATTTGCATACATTTTTATATTATTATTGTATTTTAATAATATTGAGATAAATTACTTTTAAACACAAAATAATGTTAGAAATTATGGAATTAAATAGATGGAAGACTTAATGTTTATTGTGTGTCCCTATCCATGAGCATGTTAATAATTAAATAACATTTGGATATTATACAAGTTTTATAATATGTTCATATGCAATTGTAAATAAAGATTAACTAAATAAGAGTTAGCAGTAATACTTATTCCATAAGTTTCTATGTGTAGCTGGGAATTAGAAGCGTGTCATCAACTTGAGTCTTTTGTGAGTCAAGAGCGCCATCTTGTGGAGTTAAAATGGTACAACATCCACGTCTGTAAATGCCTTCTGTCATGATGCCAACAACAAGCCTGATGAGGTTGACACTTGCTAAACTTTGAAATGACATTCATAATAGAAGTGTGACCTTTGTGTGTGTGCGGTTCACTTCACAGGCGAATGAGGCCAGTAATTTAAAAAATAAATGAATAAAATGACAAGTTTGATCCAAACACAGCCAGCAGAGGGCGCCCTGCAGACAGGTCAGCTTTGACTCTCCGTACAGATGCTATTCTGTTTCAGCCTGGCCAGAAGACTAGAGCACCTAAATGAGCCAACCACTCGCCAAGCTCCGTGGAAATATGCTTACTTTGGTGGAGACTGAATGTCCTCTGCACGCATCTCAGTGACCGTCATCTATCAGCAGCGGGTCAGAGAGAGCCACTTCACCTCCAGCGGCTAAATGTCAAACCTCTGGGCAAAGTGAGAGCGCCACTCTGCGCCACACGGTGATGATGGGTGGACCGAGCGCGGCGGAGCAATAAGGGCGCATTTCTTAATTTCCCTTCAGCGTCGCATCCCCCCCTGCCCCCCCACTTCCCCTCGTCCTTCTATCCAGCCCTGGACACACGACGTGACCCAGTGACGGCCGTGTTTCCTCCCGTTCACACACGTGGATTGATCCAATGCATTATTTACGAGCGAAACTTCAGCAACTTGTCCACTGGATATGGCTCCCGGTGTGAGGAGTGATGGGCGGGCGGGTCATCCCGAAGTACCGGGAGCCTGCGGGGCAGACGCCTGTGATGGATGCTCGCCGCGCAGGAGGGAAGCCGGAGGAGACAGGGGGAGGAGGTGTTTGAGGAGCGGTTTGCGAGCCGGAGCAGCGGGGATGCTCTCATACTGCCTGCTGTCTTTGGCTCTGCTTTCACTCCTTGTCCGGTGCGCCGTGGCCGCAGAGGGTAAGCTCAACGCCGAGCAATGCGCTCCAGCACGCTGAGGCGCATGCTGATCTGTTGCACCAACGTCTTTCTGCATTAAACCTGCCCTGCATGTGGTATTTACTGTGAACAGGATGAAAAAAAAAAAAAAAAAAAAAAACAGCACACTGGGTGGAAAATGGATCTTTTGTTTTACACAGGCAGCGTTTTGTAATCCACTGCAGGGTGCATGAATCTTGGATTGTGCAGATGGAGCTGCGGTTGGATGAATAGCTTGATAAATCATTTTTTAAAAAGAAGGGGTAAAAAACCCCCCAAAACTTCTGTCATTTAACCAGATGGTTAAATGACATATTCCAAATGCTTGAAGACACTGCTGCTGACATAAGATTGATTGCTGTCATTGACTGACCTATTGGCTGGTAATATATCTAAATGTCATAGTATGTCACATTGTGGTGATTCTGGCTATCTCTCTCCTACACCTGTGCCTGCAGCCATTTAACTTCTTTGTCTCACTGATCTGATTGCACTGCACAGACCTAGACAAGCTGCACTCATAGCCATTTCATCATCATCCCTTTTCCCCAGTCCAACTTTACTACCTCATTGCACTTGAGGAACTGTTTCAGTTTCATTTAAGTTACATTTCCACAACAGGGGTTATTAAACAGTAGGCCTACAGTTGTTTGTAACAAGCTGCAGGGAGTTATTCTGGGAATGCAGTACATTTATAGGGCAGTCTGTTTTCAGAGCATCTGGGACAGCACTAATGACACACATTCTCATGCCCATTGTGGGTCTGTTTGTCTCAGTGGGCACGCGAGGCAGCTGAGGTAAGTCGGGCCGACTTTGCTGCCGTTCTTCCATCAACATTTTGAGCAAGTCTTTTCCTGTGAAGGACAGGTCCTCTCTGCAAGTGCACTGATTTGTCAGTATCTCACTTTGCTCGTGCAACTCTTTCTGCCACTTCAGCACAGATGGCCCCGAAGGTCTCTGTATGCATCCACAACTAAAAGGAGAAGAAAACAAGAGGCTCCTTTGCAGGTGTTAAACAAACAGTGGCGCTCTTACCCTTTTCCGGGCTGCAAACTGTGGTGTCGTGGCTGTAGTCTTACCTCTTGGTGATGCACTGCTACAGTAGCACAGTCTCCTCCTCCTTTTCCTCTTCCTCCCATCTCTTTCTCTTCTTCCTCTTTGCAGTCAGCACATCCATTCTTAAACATAAGTGCAGCAGCACCTGAGCTGTTAAATATTTGGTGATGGTACCACACAAGTCCTTTTCATAGTCCCCGATGCCTGATTCAAGAATGTAGAATCAGTGCAATATATAAAAAAAGGTTCATTTAGATTTTAGGGACAGTGAAAAACAAAGTGGCGATCATACTAAACACAGAAGCCTTTCCATTAGTTGAAAATTTAAATACAATTTTGATTTATTTGGGGGTTTTGTTGTTGTTTTTTGTCCCACATGTATCAATAATAGGTGCATTGCCAAAGAGTGCATAAATATAAGTTGCCTACTGATCTGCATATCAGTGTATGTGCACATTTGTAAGTTTGGCTGGCGTAAGTCTGGCTGTGTGAAACCACAGTGAGTGGATGTAACTAGAAAAGTACTCCTCTTCCTAAGGCAGAGACTGACCCCAACCCCAACCTCCCACACTTCTGTTATTGCACACCTCTTCCCACAATAAAAGTAATAATATCAACAACAAAAAACAACACTCGCACACACACACACACACACACAACCCTCCTCTAACATCTGAGGAAAAACATGAATGTGGCAGCTTACACATGTCCCATTTAATCTGATAAAGCTCAAAGAGCCTCCCTGAAAGAACAGAATAAAACTGTTCAGCAAAGCTTACTATTCACAAACATTTAAAATTACAAATGCTGTCTAAGTGATGCACGGATACATTAATGGATTCTGGATTAGTTTTGGATCACTACAGGACTTTAATGACAGAGCCTTCCTAGTATTTCTTTAAATTGGGGTTAGGTTGCTCTTGGGAGCAATAAAAGCATCCGTAAGGTTTAGATATGTGTTTATAGGAATTATTGTCAATTCTTCCAGGAAAGTGTTTGTGAGGTCAGGCACTGATGTTGGATGAGAAGACCTGCCTTGACTCCACTTGATCCAAAAGGCGTTATGTTAGATTGAAGTCAGGAGCCTGTGCAGATCAGACAAATATTTCACAACAAAGTTGTCATTGAAGTATTTCTAAACTGTGCTTTGTATACTAGTGGCAATTCTAGTTATGTTTAAAATAAAGGACCAGTCCGTAGACTATCCCCACAAAATCAGGATTATGAAATTGTCCAGATTGTGTTGGTATACAGCAGCATGAAGAGTTCTTTTCAACTAAAGGGCTTTGCTCAGCTCCTGCACCATAATTTACTCTACATCATCCATTACATATGATACTACACATGCAGCATGTATTCCTAGAGTCAGAGTCAAACACGAAGAAGCAGTATTCAGTTTTTATGCTCCTCTAATCTGGAACAAACTTCCAGAAAACTGAAAAACACCTGAAAAATCGAGTTCCTTCCTACAAAGGCCAAAACCTCTCTCTTGTTAAGAGTTGCCTGAGATTAGTAGTTGTGCTGTTTATTATTATATTCGATAATGATTATTCTTAATGACTTTTATGGTGGCATTGACAAAATGTAATGTTTGTTTGTTGGTTCAAATGATTTTGTCATGCAAAGCACTTTGTACTGCCTTGTTGCTCAAATGTGCTGTACAAATAACCTTGACTTGACTTAATTCTGTTGTAGTCGGGCAAGTTTTAAGTTTCTTCTTCAAACCCAGACTCTGCATTGCCAAACAGAGTCATGATTAATCTTTACATAGAACACGTCTCCGCTGCTGCTCAAGAGTCCAGTGGCAGCATGCTTTGCATCACTGCATCTGACACTTTGCATTGCACTTAGTGACGTAAGACTTGGATGTGGATGCTCGGCCATAAAAACCCATTTCATTAAGTTTTTCGTGCTGTATTCCCAGGTTAACCTGAAGGGCATGTGGAGTTTGGGTGATTCTAACTGTACAGAAAGGTAGCAACTCCTGGACAGCATGTGCCTCATTATCCCATAACCTATGATTAAATGTGGCCACCGCTTTGTGCTACATAAATCCATTAACAACTAACTGTGGAATATTTAGTAGGAAAGGAATGTCACAATGAGACTTTATTACACAGGTGGATTTCTCCGAGCCCCTAAAAAAATATTGATTCCCTGAAAAATATTTGTAGAAGTTGTCTGCATACTTAGGCAACTGATTTTGGAGGGGACTGACCTCATAGAGCTCTCGATTCAAAACGCCGTCCCTACGCTGCTGCAAGTCATCACTTCCTGCCCAGAGATTTATTGATATAGGCCTAAGAAATGGCTGAAACTGTTTTCTCATCAGATGGCACTTTTTACCTTTTTTTTTTTACCCGTGAATACATTAGTTGGCTTGTTATATGCTCTGGGGGTTTTCTCCTTGTAAAGGCTCTTCCTTGGTCTTTTTCTTGTGTTTGTGAAGAGAATTGCTGTTGCTTTTCTCTACTCTTTTCTGGGCTCCCAAAAACATTTATGTTGAAGTGAAAAAATAAATATCTTGTTTCAGTGTTTCTCTGGTGACCTGCCTGAAGATGTTTTAATATTAGTTTTTGCTAGTCTTGCCTTATTGCAGCTGTAGACTTAATGGCAGTTAATTATGCCATTTGTAAACCTGTTAGAGAGTCTTGAGATGTATGCGACGATTCTTTTCCATGCACGTGATTTCCTTTTCCCCACAGGTTTGGGTTCAGCTGTTTCGGCGTCCACTGGAGGCTCAAACATTTGTCTTAGTGAAGACTTGTCAAGCTGAGAAGTTAATACAAACACACAATACTCTCCCAAAAAATATATGTGTGCCTGAAACAGTTGTCTAAATGTGTAATTTCATTGTGGGATACATTTGTTTTGGTAGAAAAGAAAATTCTATTGTGGCTCTATTTAGAACTGTGAAAGAACTTGAAAGCAAGAAAGGGAAACAGAAGAAAGCGCATTGTTAGGTGATGAAAAATATATTAGTATCGGCAATCACTCAGCGAGACTAAGACCATTTGTTGTCTGATCTGGCTGTAAGTCACTACTATGCTCTTTTACTTTCTGACAGATTGTAAAAGTCAAAGACATTATATGTTCCTCACAGCTGCATACAAAGCAAGCAGCAGGTCAATCTCATATTGATGTAAAGATTGGAAAGGCTTCTAATTAGCATCATGTACCATCTGCCTTGCGTTAAGTTTGGTGCCATCAGGGAATATTGCTATTGTGCGACGGGTTATCTCCATGTTTCCCTCTGTACCTTTGAGCCTCTGGGTTCTTTGGTTTCCCTGCGTTTCTCCGGCTGTTTGGCGGAGGCTGATGGCAGATGAAGGGCTTGGCTCTGCTGCTGCTTGAGAAAGGGCAGCAGGCTGGCTGATTTACTGGGGCACGGTATATTGCAGGCTGCTCTGCACAGAGCCATTGTTAATCACACAGCAGTACACAGAACCACAGCAAGAGATCCCAAGCATCACTTGTGTGGGTTGTTTAAGAACATGATTAAAAAAAGAAAGTGTGATTAGACTGATTGCCTTCCTGAATAAATGACTACAAAAATATTCAGTTACAATGTCTATATTTCATTCAACAATCATGATATCAGTTAGCTCGTCGCTACTCCTTCCATCAACATTGGCTTGTCTTGTTTCTCTCAATCCTGAGCTTTGGTATTTTTAGGACTTAAAATTGTTCTAGAAATACTTCATTGGATTTTAGTCTAGGCTCTGACCGGGGCACATGAGGACATTCATACACCAAAGCAATGTCTTTGTCATCTTGGCTGTGTGCTTAGAATCAATGTTGTGTTGATGAGACGAGTCAGTTCCTTAGTCAGACCTTTGGAGCACTATGTGGTAAGAAGTCTTATAGAGTCTCATTGAATCCAGCTGTGCTCACACAAAAAGAAGAAGAAAAAAAATGTCCCCACC